GGGGGTACACAGGGGACACTGGAGTATGGGATATATGTTGATTTGATGTTCCAGATCAGGTTATGCTTATCTTTTTGTATTTTTTCAACAAGCTAAATAATCCCTTTAAGGATGCCAAATGGGAGACTGAAGGAGAAGCATTTAATGATCTTCTGCTCCGCCCTGACTCCTGTGATGCTCCGGTCTGCAAGTGCCCAGGAGGAAGAAAGTAAGTATTTAATGATCTTCTGCTCCGCCCTGACACCTGCGATGCTCTGGTCTGCAAGTGCCCAGGAGGAAGAAAGTAAGTATTTAGTGATCTTCTGCTCCGCCCTGACACCTGTGATGCTCCAGTTTATGTCAGGAAGAAATTCTGTATATTTCTCAATCTTGAAATCTTGAGTGCTCCTCTGGTTCAGAAGTAGTCGATCAATTTTTATTCAAAATTAAATTAAGTTTTTATATTCAGAGTAACAAATTAATATAAAACTTCAATTGCAAATATGTTTCTATTTGCCAATGATTATCAGTTTTGGAATCGATCGATACTTCTGTCAAGTATTAATAGTTGATAAAACACTTTTTTTCAAGGGTTAAATTTGAAACCGTTTTTCACATCTTTTGTCATTAATCATAAGGGGTTTAACTGTACTTTTATAGTGTGGACTGCGGAGTGCTTCACCTTTAAAACCAGTGCATTGGATCTGTAACATTTTGGCTTCCTGGATCCGGATCTGCAAAAATTGAGTTAACACTCCCTTTAACCCGTGATGTTTAATCTAGGATGGATGTGGAGGACTCTAAATGGGAAACAGTTATCTGTGTCTGTTGTGGAGCACAGGTAGGACTTCCTTGCATTTAAAGGGACTGTCAACGTAATTTCAAGTCACCCTTCATTTAAAGGGACTGTCAACGTAATTTCAAGTCACCCTTCATTTAAAGGGACTGTCAACGTAATTTCAAGTCACCCTTCATTTAAAGGGACTGTCAACGTAATTTCAAGTCACACTTCATTTAAAGGGACTGTCAACGTAATTTCGAGTCACCCTTCATTTAAAGGGACTGTCAACGTAATTTCGAGTCACCCTTCATTTAAAGGGACTGTCAACGTAATTTCGAGTCACCCTCCATTTAAAGGGACTGTCAACGTAATTTCGAGTCACCCTTCATTTAAAGGATATTCATGATTTTTTGTTTCAAGATAGATTATTTTCAGTTGTGGTTTCTTTAATAAATAATGAATTTCAGATTTCTGTGCATGACATTTTCAGAAAAAAAAACACTCTTCAGATATAAAAACAAGGATATCTTTATCATTTTCATCACTCAGTCAAAGGTTTAAAGGTACTGTCGTAAATCGGATTCCGACATGCCCTAATATAAAGATGGTGGGTCACTTAAAATTACAATGACAGTCCCTTCAATGTTTCCTTTTGTACACTAAAGAAGTACTTTATGTGCAATTGTAAAATTAGCAACATTAACATGGCCGGAGTTACTTTTTAAAATTAAAATGGTTAATATAAGAATCAGTAATTTAAGAGCAATACTTTTTTAATGCGGTACAAGCTATAAGACCTCACTTCATTCTTTAACCTGTAAATTCATTTCCAGTCTGGAGGGTGGATATTAGGACTTTCTAATTGATTTGATTTGATTGGATTTGATTTGATTTGATTTCGACAGATTTACTTTTGGTAAAATTCTCAGCGCTAAAATGCCTGAATCTTGCTTGACAAATTGCTTAAGTGATTTGTTACGACTTTATTTACTAACATGGCTTATCTTATTTTTGGTTTGTTTATATCTAAAAGACGGTTAAATTGATCCTAATTTTTATTTTTTATTTGGACCTTACATGCTCCCGGTAAAATTTTGAAGACATACAGGACAAAATTATGTTTCCTCCTAAAGCTTTGTTTTTACAAAAATCCATTGATTAAAAATCATAATGTTTGTGGATATAATATATTAGCTTGATAACCAAGCTTTCAATCCACTTCACATTGAACTTTTAACCAAGAAAAGAACCCCTGGTTCCAACAAGTTTCCAAATCAAAATTTGAGGCAAATCAGTCAAGGGGTTATGAGTTATGATCTGGTATACAAAAAAACATACAAAAAAACCATATAAAAATTGCTACTTGATTTATTAAACTATATAAAAGAAGGGAAAATGTTTGCAGATGTAAAATGTGCTTAAAATTAAAGATAATATCATAAAATGCGGACCTAATTGTCTGGCATATTATCAGTTTTTAGTTTTGCCAATGTTTTAGTTTAAACTTGATGATTTTGTCCCTCTGCATTATTTGTTTGAACAATACCCTACTGTGAGCATTGTCTATGATACCTCCTTGAGAAATCATGCCTTGAATAATGAGTTCCTAGTCTCAATGTCTAACCAGTGTATATTTTATAAGTAAAGATAATTTATACAAATAGCATATATTAAGCATGGAACAATCACGTTCTTTGCATTTCCAAACACTACAAGCTAAAGCTAGGGCAGAATTTAAGATTGCATCATAGTTAGAAAATGTGAATATAGGAATAGGGAAAACAGAAGTGTTTTCTTTTGTCTAGGACCATTTTATAAGATAGCTCATTAAAAAAGATGCAATGTTCATTGGTTCAGTTACAATAAAAATTTATAAAAAAAACTGTAGAAAACAGTATTTAAAAAATTTATATGTATACTCTTGAAGTTTTTTCCAAGCCTGTTCTTTAATTGTTCTAAAACTAATCTCCTTTTCTCTGTTTGTCTATTTACGGTGCTAATGAACTGATATCCCATATACATCTTAATCTTCTTTAAAATATTATGTAAATGAATCTTGATACATATCAATTTTGGAGATTTGCAAGATTTTGTGTTTGTGTTTTCGATTTAATATGTTTAGATGTTATGTCAAGACTTTAAAAGCAACTTTTAAACAGATCAAACCAGCTTGACTTAATGCCATAGAATTAACTTTTGAAAGGTTAATTTGAAATAAAGTTACGTAAAAGCATGAATCTTAATTCATATAGAAAGTCAATTTCTAGATATTGAATTTTTATCATGTAACAAATAAAGCAGACCGTCTTTTTAATACAAATTTATTGATGTATTGTATTATAAATACTAGATTTATTAGATTATAAATACTAGATTTATTAGATTATAAATACTAGATTTATTAGATTATAAATAATAAGAAATACTTTACAAATGTTTGAACTCGAGAGGTGTGAAGGTTATTTCTGAATGTATTTTGTGCTGTGTAAATGGTTGGATATTAAGTGCTTGTTAACTGATCAGTAGTTCCTTTAGAACAAGGAAGATGATTGATGATAGTCCCATAGCTACTGGAATAGTCAGTGCCCATGACAGTATTACTCCTAGAAATCAATCTATAAGAAAACCAAAACCTCAAAAAAAAACTTTCTTGTTCAGAAATGAAAACTTTAGAATTGTGGATATTGAGATCAAGATTAGTTTAATCTTTAGTTTGTATCAAGGAAAGTATTCAACCAATAGAGTGGGTTATGCAAGTCCCAAATAGCCAATCAGAAGCTTGGGAAATTTTAAAGTTTGGTCAGAATATGGTAGGGATATTTTAAAAAGCGGATTAAGCAGAAATTTTAAAGTGTCCACGTTTTTTTTTGTTGATAATTACCTGAGAGAACTTTAAAGTTTACATAGCTTAAAGCTTTTTTTGGTGATCCTGTATCGACCAGGCCTTGCATTAGTCCACATCCTAGAAGAAATAACAACATGGTTAAGATTTGTTTTTTATTTTCCAAAAAAGTTTGAGAAGTATTATTTTTTGAGCTGTACCTATAATACATCCAACTTTGCAGTGAGTGGTAGACAACATAAATCCTGAAACATTTTATGTAAAAATATTTACATAAGTCATCAAACAAATCGCAATTGTAGCATCTAAAGATAAAACAATTTTTCAGCTGAAACTTACCGAAAGCTGTGAAGATCAGTCCAATGATTGAAGAAATCCATTCAACAACAAATCCTTTAGATGGTGTCATCTCAGTTATGTCCTGTCCCATTGTCCTGATATATTTTAAATTATTCAATATAATATTTTTCACTTTGAGGTTGAAGCGAGGATAATATTCCTAAAAGTCTGATTTGATATGATCATTTTTTTTTGTTTTAAGAATACTTACATTATAACCTTCTTTCCAAACATGATGAGCCCTAGGGAAATTCCAACTCCACCCCATAGCGAGATTGCGAAAGGTGCTTCATACTTGGTTTGGGTCAAAATTCCCTCCTTAACATAAAAGTTTTAAAAATAGATAATGTAAGTATTTGAATTCTGGTCTGGAAAATAATTAACTTTATGATTTGCTTAGAAATGTTATCAAATTAAGCTTTTATTTGGTTAAACTAGGAAAAAGATAATTGCACCTTTCATTCTAAAGTGATTGAGCTGAAAAGTACTATTTTAAAGGGAACCAGACACTTGGCTTTATTTGTGGCATTACTGTTCAGGGAAAATAACAAACCTGGTAGACTAGATAGATTACTACAAAAGGTCCAATACAGTTTGCCACATCATTACCACCATGCACAAGTGCACTGGTCATTGCCGAAATCACTAAATAGAAATTTGTAGATCAATGATTTCATACTGTACCGCAAAATTCTTGGGTTGGGTCTTTCTTAGTTTAATCATTAACTACGGCTACCTTGAAGTGGTCTGAAGATCCTGGTTAGTTCAGGACTATCTTTCAGAGTATTGTTCTGTTTGCTAGCATCAGGTTTCTCCTTGCTTTCAATCTCTATAGGTTCAACAGTTGACATTTCTTCCTCCTTGTCCTCTTTACTTCCTTTCTTCCAACATCTAGAATTTCATAAACCTCAGGAATAGATAGAAAATGTTCAAATTGACAAGATCCCCTTCCACTGCTAAATCATTTTACCCCTTAAACCCAAATCATCTTTTAATGTCAAATCCAAATTTTATAATTAAAATAAAAAATGTATTTTTTGTGAGAAGTGGGTAATTTTTTCATAATAAATGCAATTAATACCTGAGGTCAACATCTAGGGCCAAATCTGATGTCATATTTTTTATCTGAGGAATGATGACAAATATTGCAAGAATTGACATGATCAAAGTTACAGCTAAACCAGTTCCTGAACAGATTAATCAATGAAATATTTATCTTAAAGGCGGACAATATTTAAAAACATTACCTATTGCTATCCAGTGAGGATCATTGTCAGCACTAAAACATAAAAAAAATTCAATATTTCACAGATAATCTAATAATTGCATCTTAAAATTATCCAACTTTTTGGTAATTTTTACCTTATCAACTCAAAAGCTTTGTTTGTTTGCAGGAAAATAAAAGCTACCGGAATCCCTAAATAAAAAATGACATTAATATTAATTTCCAATGGGGCCAAATAGGGATTTCTTTTTCTTCATAATTATGACATCTCTGATATAATGAACTTTTAATTACCTACAGCAGATCCAGTGAGCAGGCCATATATGATTCTGTTCTTTCCAGAGAAAGGAGTGTCCGATCTAAAGGATAAACGCAGTAGAGGACTTCAAACATATCTTATTTGACTCTATTGATAGAGTGATAAGTTCAATTCATAATGGTAATCCCTTAAAAGCTTTGTCTGATTAAGAATGAATGAGATATCCATGTTTTTGTTTGTGAAAACTATTCATTTTCAGTGGTGGTTGCTTTGCAAAAGTGATTTTAACATTTCTAGCTTCAGAAGTAATGTAGAAATTATCAGAATCTAACACAAGTCAAGAAAGCTATGTTATCTTCCGCAATATTGATCAGATTAAGATTTTAAGGATATCGTAGTAAATCAGGAATGCCTTTCTTTTAAATGGAGGGTCACTTAAAAGTTGACAACATTCCCTGAAAAATCAATAACTGTGCAAGACCCAATTTTCTGAATAACTATTTTGTTTCTCACAAAATATGGTTCAGTGTCATATTGTTTTGTATCTCTGATTTCCAGGTTGNTTAATCTAATAAATAAGTAGTTATACCTGAAGCAGTATTTGTAAAGAGGGAAATAAAAGACGGCTGATGCCACCAGAGCAATGAGAATGGATACAAAAAGCATGTAGACAATGGTGGCAAATTCTTCAGCATTTTTCAATCCATTTGATCCTAATAAATTTGACAATCATTCAAAAACTAAGATCACCAAATTTTTAGTCCAGCTTGAGTTAACAAACATCTTTTGCTGGAAATTCCATAATTTATTTTATTTGTCATTTTCCTTTAGCTGTGAGTGTGAAACCAAGAAGTCCAAATATAATGCAGTGTGTTCCTGCCACAGGCCACGAGAAAAATGATGCAATTAATTGCCAGAGCCCACTACCTGTAAATATTGAAAGTAATAAGATTCTATGTATAAATTTGTCAAAGCTTGTACCCAAGTTCTTCTAGTAAAGGTTTATGGCCGTAAGAATTTATGAGACTTAATTTGTGATAACATTTTTTAAAAATTTAGAAATCTTACAACGAAAACTGGAAAAATCTGCGAAATATTTAATTGCTATTTTTAACCAATATACATGAAAAAGGTTGACTTTCAAAAAACATTTGAAAAAAAAGTTTAGTGAGAAAGTAAGGCGCAAAACTCCATTGAAGCTTGGCTTTAAATTGCTGACTAAAAAATGTAAACTTACTTAACATCACCGCAATACAGCCAACCATCAGCAACCTCTCATCATAAAGGCCGTCTTCTGGACTCTGTTCACTCCATCCGTTTATAACATCAGTTCTGTTCGACTTATAAGCATCTATGTTCACAATCCCATTCACCACCTTTTTTATGACATCACCAGACAGCAATGTGGCACCTTCAGATAAAATTTTTATTTTTTTCAATTTTTGTTTTCTGTAGAAATTAAAAAATAGTGAAATATTTTCAATGGCCACAGCAATGCAATTTATATCTTCACATTACATAAGTTTTTCAAAATTGACAGTTGCAGTCAAGGCTTTAGGAAAAAAATTACTAGGGTTGCTACAGAGAGAAAATAAAAGAATTTTCATTACCATTGCAATTTGACAGGGTATATCATCACTTAAAAAGTAATCATGACAAACAACCCTTTATATGGTGAGAACATCTTACCAATTGTCTCCATGAGTGATCCAAGAATGTATGCCCAGGTTAAGGAAACAGTCCCTGCCCCTACAAATAGTTTTCATTTTAAGATTTGAAAATCGTGCTGGATTAATATTGGTCGATATGAATTATGTTTAACTCAAGTTTTCTGATCTCTCTCTTGATCATGATATCTACTATATTACAACTTTGAAATTTAAGGGTTTCATAGTTTTTTTTGGATGCCTTGAAGGAATAGAAGGAATATGGAGATCAAGGCTTGATCCCTAGATAAACAACATCTGTGATAAAATTCTTTAAAAATAAGTTTTTTTACCTACTGAAGTTCCCCAAGAATTAGCAGAATCATTTGCTCCGACAGCAAAGCTCAGGATAAAGGATATTATTACCCCTAAACAATTCATATGTTTAAAAAATTATATTTATAAATATACTTTGCTTGTCTGTGTGTTTGTGTGTATCCAAAAAAAACGTCAAAAAGGCTGAACCGATCGTTCCCAAATATTGTCTAGGACCTCGCATGACCCAAGAGAAGGTTTATGGATGATCAAAGTTTAAAAAATTAGCCTCCAACTAGATTCCATTTTTTATTAAATTTTTAAAATTCTAGATTTAAAAGTAAAAAAAAAATAAAACTGATGTCTATTACTTTTCTAAATTGTTGAATGTTAGTTATTACATTTGTACTATATTAAGATAAGAAAGTACAAATATTTTAACAAGTTGGTAAAGATATTAAGTGTCAGGAATGCAAAGTTTTCATTATTTATTTAATTTGATTAAAACAGTTGTTGTACAAATAAAGTTTAAACTTTTCAATAAACATTAAACCATATTGACATAGTCAAAGGTTAATTTTGAACCATTTAAAGTATAATTTCAAAACTCTGTAAAAAAAATTTCCTGATCTGGTAGCAATACTAAAATGGGTGCCTGCCTTAGTTTAGTCACACAAACGGGAGGGGGGGGGGGGGTCATTTATCTGTATTACCGGCTCTCAGAAAATCGAACCACAAAATGATTATTAATGTTTGATTTAATCTGAATAAAGTTTTGTACAAATGAAGTTTGAGATTTTAAAATTAAAAAAACATATTGACATGTCCAAGAGTTGATTTGATGTTGCACCATTTAATTTATGATTTCTAAACTCTGTAAAAAAAATTAGTTATTAAAAAAATCTGTATTGTTTACACAAACAGAGGGGTGTCATTTATTTTTATGACAAGCTCATAGAAAGATCTAACCACAAAACGTTAAATGATAAAAACTATGATTCATTATGTTTCATGAAATTGCAGTGTAGTATAAATTGCTAGAAAAAAATAGCCTTATCACAAAAAAATGTTAACACCAAGAAATGTCAAACATTAAAGGAATTGGGTCCGATTTTCCAATCCATATATCTTTGTAATCCAATGACCTAAGATATTCAACTATGCATTCTGTTAGATGAATAGTAGGTTTGAAATATTTTAGGTTTACACCATCAGCGCCCGCGATTTGAAACAAATTCGGAAAAATACGGCTCGGGTCTAAGCTGTCGTTGGCCCTTATTTGCGACTTGAGCTTTCGGATTCAAGCTACATCTTATTTTCAACGAGGTTGGGTTCAAAAAACCGGTTTAATATTATATTATATTATATTATATTTGGCATATTTTGATGGTAGGAATTGGCGCATTCCGGGTTTCAATGAGAATAAGACTCAACATCGAGCCTTATTCTCCACCAAAACCAGCCAAGGTCGGTTTTATTTTCATTGGGTCTAACTCCTTCCGTTGAACCGAAGATCTTGCAGCTGTCAATCATGTGACACAAGCTGTCGTCAGAGTTGGGTTGAAGGTCGGGTTTTAAAGTCGAGTTTAAGGAATTACGGCTCAAGCCGAAAATTTTAAACCGCTGGCTCAGGTTGCAAATATTTAGGGATTAGAAGATATTAGATTGTGGCAAAGACACAATTATTTGTCACATTTGTTCTAGGTTGTAATCAACTAATGCCTGCAATGAGTAGAGCAAGGGCAAAATCTTCATGGAAATGATACAAAACTAGATTCCAAATACCCTCTGTTGAGATATCCATTTTTTTCTATTTAATTCTGAAATCGATTGATAACGATTTTTAAAAAGTTGTTTCTGTGAATTGGAAAAAATTAAGTTTAAAATAATTCTCCTTTATTGTACTTAATGATTCACTTAACTGTTAAAAAGTTGACGATTTACTGTTAAACCCGAAAATTTCTTAATTTATTCACAAAAGAAAGAACCCAACGTTTTCCGCACTATCGTTTCGCAGATTAAGTTGACAGAAGAAAAAAAAATACTTTTAATGATTTTTTAAAATTGTTCTCTGATATTTGAATTTTCTAAAATTATGATGTTTAAAGTTAGACAAACAAGTTTTTTCTCCTTTAAATGTGTTTTTCTTTGGAATTTCGAACATTTTGAAAGTTTTACACCATCCATCAGGGTGCAAAGTCATTGGGAGTAGTAAGTAAGTTTAAGGCGAATATACCGTTCCTTAAAAATTAGAAAACTAAGAATCTAATGCGAGTATTCAGTTCCTTAAAAATTTCCTATTCTCCAGAAATTAGATAACTAAGAATCTAATGTGAGTATTCAGTTCCTTAGAAATTTCCTATTCTCCAGAAATTAGAAAACTAAGAATCTAATGTGAGTATTCAGTTCCTTAAAAATTTCCTATTCTCCAGAAATTAGAAAACTAAGAATCTAATGTGAGTATTCAGTTCCTTAGAAATTTCCTATTCTCCAGGAATTAGATAACTAAGAATTTAAGGCGAGTATTCGGTTCTTTAAATTTCCTACTCTCCAGAAGTCAGAAAAACTAAGAAGTATTTAAGGTGAGAATTCAGTTCCTTAGAAATTTCCTATTCTCCGGAAATAAGAAAACTAAGAATTTTTAGCTTAGTATTCAGTTCCTTAGAAATTTCCTTTTACCAGAAATTAGAAAACTAAGAAATTAAGGTGAGTAGTCAGTTCCTTAAAAATATCCTATTCTCCAGGGATTAGAAAATTAGAGTTTAAGGCGACTTGTCAGTTTATAAAAAAAAAATTTAGCTGTACTGTTGAGTGTATGTAAGTTGAGTATTTACTGGTGAAATTAGAAGGAGTCAAATTTATTTATAGAGAGTAAAAGAGAGAGAGAGAAGTGGTGTGAGTTGTATGTGTGTAGTGTGTGCTAGGTGCATGGGCCCGGTTATCAAAAGTCCAAGATGCACTGTGAACTCTGACGCGGCTGTCCTAATTTATTTTGGAAATTTATGACTTTAAACAATCTCAAAAAAATTCGAAAATTTCCCAAAAATAGTTTTAATGAAGATGAAAATGGTATCCCCCCCCCCCCCCCCTCATCCTTTGTTTGATTGTTTAAATTCGCTGAACGTCAAAACGACTGAACCGAACGGGACCACCTTAAGTAACCAAATTGGCGGTCAAATGATGTCACTTTCAACAGATTTGAATTTGGAAAACATTTAAGTTCACTTATGAAAGGAACTGAGTTCTTGCCACAAACTCGGATTTTCTAATTTAAATGATCTTTTCAACTAATTGTTGTAGACTTTTGATTTTCAAACTATTAATTTTATAAGATCAAATAATATAAGTTTGAAATATCGAAGCTTTTCACTATCATTTTACAAAGATATAGGAATTAAAAAGTTAGAGTTTGTTGCAAAAACTCAGTTCCTTTCAGTCCAGTTGTTCTGCATTTGTGTTCACTGCTGAAAAAACTGTACACTTCTGATGTATTTCAAATAATACTGAACAATAAAACTTTCATACTGAACAATAAAACTTTCACATGATCATCCCTACGGTCATTCATTGGTCATGGAAGGGGGGGGGGTTCGTGGTAAATTATAATTATGAGGATTGTGCGTCCTCCATGTTAAAGTAATCATTTAAAGATTTTTTTTTAGTTAATTGTTCCATACAGAGATACATACATAGATATATGATTCAATGACATTATTACCTATTTGCATTTTGCATTTGCTTGAAAAAGCGAAATATTTTAGGGTGGGGATCGATTTAATATTACGTTTATATTAACTAATCATTTGTAAGTTTTTATTGTAATTAAATTAAGAAAAACATTTTTTTTTTGTAGTATGTGGGGGGAAGGCTGTCTTCAAATATAGGTTGAATTTCATCGTGAAGGAATTTTCAAAAATATATTGTCTCCTTTTCAATTTACCTCCCTCTTCCGAGTAATTGGAACTGAAGTGCAAGGGGGAAGGCCGAAGAAATACAGTGAATCCCAGATATATATGAATACATGGACCGTCATAAGTTTTTTGATAATTCTAAAGAAACTTCTTTTTATTTTTAATTCAAGGTAAATTAATAACCCTGAAATATGAATGCAATTGATATATTAATAGTAAACTCATTTTTCCGCGGCATAGATCTTAAATATGTAATACTTTAGAGCAGCGTTTCGGATCCGGATCCGGTCGGATCCGTATCATTTGGTCGGATAAGGATCCGTATCAGGAAACGTTGATATGGTTCCGGGTAGCGCCTATTCTCAGCCTTGAAGCTGCAGAAGTTCGACCTCCGGAACCGGATCAAGGCCGACGTGTTGGACGCCCTTCTCCTGCTCAAGGCTAACAGCGACTATCTCTTCAAGAAGTGATTGATCGGCCTGCCCAAAGGATTACTCCAAAAAGTCTATATTTTTTTTGTTACATTTCGGAATATATAATAAATATAGTTTATAAATTATAACCTTGCATAACATTTAATAGGGAAAATCCGATTCACAGAATCAAAAGTTACCTCGGATCCGTATCAGAGTCAGGATCCGGAACCATCATCACGGATGCGGATCCGCGGATACTGATCCGAAACACTGCTTTAGAGAGTAAGAACAAGTCTATGATATAGTTTATTTGATATCCAGGATAGATCTGCTCGAGTTGAAGGATGGTGTGAGACTTGTAGGTTTACACCTTTAGTTTGTTTATGTTTATTTAATTGACTCTCGTCTCTCACTTTATGTGTCGCACGTGTCTCAGGGACGTGCTAAAGATTTATTGTACCGTGGAATAATTGTTCCTCTTTATTACTCAGGATAGAAGATAAATCCAGGTTTAAGTATTTATTTATCCTCCATAAGCAGGTGATAACTGAAATATTAATCACATTTAAATAATATAATAATAAGAACAATAGTCGATATTAAGAAAAATAAGCTATTTATAAGGCGCGGCTTTTTAAGAATTATAAATAAAAAATACTCACATTACGGACATTATCCATTTGCAAGAGAGACGGTCTAAATTCACAGGTTTACATGCTTGCTTGATAATCGACGTCTAAAACATGATGACGTTAGATTTTCAATCAATTGATAATACATTTTTGAATATTTATATCTAATTACAATCTTTAGAAAAATAAATATTAATCACCTATAGGATCATTTTGAGGTGCAACAACCTATAGAGATCTTGATCGCTCACACCCAGCGATCTAAAGTTTTAAATCCAGATTAGCTTTTGTCACGAAAAACGATTTAGATGTTTTTCATGTTCAGGTTTTATATATTTCACATTATAGTTCAAGAGTTTTTTGTGAGGAATATACCTGAGTTGGATTCAGGATAAGCACGATCCGTTAAGCATAGTATGGAACGATTACGCTAAAAAAGGGCTGCAGAGAAATCTTCTTTGCACTTCAGGGTCTATATATTTAAAGCTGAGAACTAGTCCAGCTGCTGTACACACTACACGGTCCTTCCGCCTCTATAAAGATGCATTATTCATTTATGCTCATCTTAAGTAGGCTTTTTAGGGAATTTGTTTGTTTACCTAAAAGGCTAAAAGAGGCCGCAAGGACGTAAAGTAGAGGTACAAGGATCCGTCGTAATTGCTATAACTTCAGATCTAGATAAAGAATTGATAATTTTGTTTTAATCAATTTTATGTTTTTCTTTAATGCAGACTTCTTTACAATTTTAACATGCATAAAAATGTACCTATGAATATTTATCAGTAGAAGGATGTGGAGGGTTAAAACATCCCGCCCACAATCCATGGAAGTTTTATGTACGCGCCGTACATTATATCTGAAACATTCAGATATTAAATATAAAAAGGTTTTTTCATTTTAATTTCCAGGCATAGAAATTAGAATACGTTTTACTTTTTAAAACTGTTAAAAACATTTCCAAACAATACTTGGAAATATATTTTTTTTTAAAAAGAGTATATAGGCTTTAACTTTGATTAAATAAAATAAAAGATTTTAATAGACATGGACGTGGTAAATTATAATTATGAGGATTGTGCGTCCTCCATGTTTCATCATGCGTCCTTCTCGAGTTTCTCCAACTATGAACTTCTCCTGTGGTCGAGTCGTCTTCCCTAAATAGTTCAGAATTTACAGATGGAGACTGAATGATTCCTAGATTACAGTTTTCTTGTTCGGAGATTTTCTTCTTTATCTTCGAGGATATCTTGGATTTAACCTCTCATATTCCGGCTTCTTCAATACGACATTATAAAAACTCTTCCTATATATTCATATATCTGGGATTCACTGCAGTAAAACCAAGAGGGGAAGGTTTAAACTTGCATTGAAATTTAAAACTAACTTAGAAATTTTCTATTTAAAGGGACTTTTCATTTAAAAGGCTGCATGTCCAATTCACTAACCATTAAATTCCCACATAAAAAATTTGGTTTTTTAAAGTTGACTTGCGGAAAAACGTCGATACTTTCCAAGTTGTTGCTTAGACAAAGATTTGAAGGGTTTTCGTTGTGAATCAGTCGTGCAACTCTTCAAGTAGAGGGTTACTTTAAATAATGTTTACAGTCCCTTTAAGTATTTTGTGTAATTTCCATTCATAATTCATAATTCTCATGCTAATCGTATTTAGTCTTATCACAAGTTTGACAATTTTTCAAGAATTAAAGATTGGATTACACCAAATTGATAACCAATAGACACAGATATGATAATTGCAAAAACAAAATGACATTTTAAATAATTTTGCATGTATGATAATTGTTTAAAATATTTAATAGATCTTCTAAATCAGTTATTTAAACAAATGTCACTTCTCCTTGACTTAGCCATGATTTATTCTCCAAAAATTTCAGGAGTGTATATATTTTCTTATTTTAGGTTTTTGGGGGGTTTTATTCGCTCAATTTGGGGAAATAAATGATTTTAGCGGAAAATAAACAAATTTTTGGGTAAACAGAACGAAATATTATTGCCTTTTCATTTTTTCCCTCCAGTCTCCAAACACATTTAATTTTTAAAGATATACAACCCCTGGAAGAATTACAAGTTCACAAAATTCTCAACCTCCCCCCCCCCCCCCCCCCGGAACAAAATATCTTAGTTGCGCCTCTGAATGTGATAAAATTTATTCTAAGAATCCGGTTTAAACTAGATACTTGTAATAGCTTTATGTAACATTCAAACTTGGCAGACCTGGGCCGGATTACGTTTATTTAAAATAATCTTAGAATTTCAAAATTAAAAATAATATTTAAAATTTAATTTATTTTTATTTTCTTTAAAATTTCTTTAACAAATTTGGTTTTATGTTGTCTTAAATGGCAACAACAAAAAGTTTGCCAATAAGTGAAAATTAAGAATTCTAACACTCTTTTGGTTTTTAATAATAATTCCAGTAAAATAGCTACCCTTTCCCACCTAATTGACCATTGACCATTATTATTATATTTTACATTAAAAAAAATCGAGTTATCTTACCTTCAAAGGCAGTCAAAACTTTTCAGATTTGATAATGTCAGATAGTTGTTGCGATTCAGTTGTTAAAGATAACATGAGAAATTATTCTCATTTAATATATTTAAAGAAAATTTTCTAGGATTGTCTATTATTTTCAGAATTCTTTCATCCATACTACATTATATTTTGTAATCGTCCCCCCCCTCCCCCGTCCCTTCCCCCACTCCGGTCATATTTCCTCATAGTTAAAATTTGCTTGTTATTTAACTTATGAATCATATATGAGACATGACTTAATGTGTTAAAGTAAAGTCTGTAAGTTAAAATATTCAAAAATCAAGGACACAAGCAGAATTAAAGCTTGGGGCACACTTAGAGGTTGAAATGCCCCCCTTCTCTAATAAACTTATGCGTCAAAGACCCGTCGTTTTTTTGATGTTTTGAAATCGTTTCCCTATTACTTTCAAAATTTAAGTTTTGAAAGAAGAGTCTATTTTGGTCATTTTACAATGCTCTCTCCAAATTTCTATATTATATACTTCCATAATAAATTTCTCAATATTTTATTTTTTCACTAATTTAGTCATAGCCAAATAGTTGTAATGTTAAAAATGTTGTGATATATTTTATCAGTTTATTCACATATTGTTTAAGTCGTAAAATTGAAAGGTATTTTTCTGCTTTGTCGGTTTTTATTTAGTTTTGCTGAACAGTTTTATTGTTTTTAACACTGAATCACTGCACACTAGACAGAAGGTTTAATATTACAGACATAGCTGAACCGACCTTGTGTCATCGTAGCTCCTATAGTTTTCATGTGCCAGAACATGTTAGAAATTCAGAACAGTTTGGTTCACTTCAATAACTCTTCACAAAGGAGAGTATATATACACTTTGCTAAAAAATCTATTTTTCAAATCTGGGATATCCAGGGGGGAGGATAGTGCTTAGTTAGCTGTACTATACACTTACAACTGTTCACCAATAATGATATACTATAGGTTAGGCCAGAATCAACTTATAATGAACAAATATGCAGTACGGTCTCGGTAAAGTTCATGGCCTATATAATTAGTAAAGGATCAGCGTACATCATCGCTATATACACCATAACCTCGTTGGGGATATCCGACTAAGCCTATTATAGATTACAGATTATTCATGAAATAGTTATCAAATGCAATTTTTTAATTACAATACGTTGAACCAGGAACTGAGAGTTAATAATAAAAAAAACATCATATATGTAATTAGGAAAACATCATATATGTAATTAGGAAAACATCATATATGTAATTAGGAAAACATCATATATGTAATGAGGAAAAAATGTTTTGCTGTAAAATTTCGACAAATAATAGGTTTGTATTGCTCATTTAATCTCTAAACAATCTGAGCTGAGAACCTTCGAATGGGATATCCTTAATCCCGATCGGTTAATCAATCTGGAGATTAACAAGCATTATTTAATCTCGAGATTAAGAAAAAGAGTGGATCAAGCCTTAATCCCGAGATCCACCATTCAAAAGTTCCCAGCTCATTTCATGTTTCCTGCAAAATCTGTTGTAAAAGTTAACTTTACCAATTTGTACACTGCGCGACCCAAATATACTTTTATCTTAATGTACAATGTTCATGATGGATAATTAGATCCTACAAGGTCTTGTTTAGCTGAACGATAGGACTGAATAGGATTGTAAGCGTAATTTCAAGTGACCCTCCATGCAAAGATGACAATTGGTCGATTTACAATTATATATTTTAAACAACATTAATCTAATCAAAAATGTGGAAGATACAGTTTTGACTCAAAAAGTGTAAATTTCTATGAGTTTTGCATTTCTTACAACTAAAAAAACTGCAAATAAAAACTGTTTAAATTAAAGAAACAAAAACATTGCTATATAAATTTTTCATAATCAAACAAAGCTTTTAACGGTTTTAAGGGAGCCGTTGTAAATCAGACATTGCTATCTTCGCATGGAGGGTCACTTGAAATTACACTTACAGTCCCTTTAGGGCAATTTTTTATATTTTACATGCATTTCCATTTTTCTAAATTAATTTTCTTTAGGGTATTCATATTGAGTGTGGAGGATTGAACTTTGACCGGCCCCGCTGGAAGTGTAATACCTGCAGGTAAATATCCTTTATGTCTAACAAGGATTATAAACGGTTACAGTGGAAAAATAATGTCAAGAAATAATTTTGACGCTTTTTTTATAATGCACAAATTTAAAGAGAAAAATCCAACAATTATGACTTACAAAGAAAAATGGCAGCTAGAACATTGTCACTAGAAAAGTCTAGAATTTTTTTATGTAACGGTGTGTGTTCTATTGTGCGTCCTCAGTATGCGTTCTTCCCAAGGAGATGCACGTGCCACACGTGTAGCTATAAATTTGCGCAGTATGCTTAATTTGGGAAACCCACCTTCTGCCCCCCCCCCTTATTCTGTCTTAATAAATTTTGTATTGTTTCAATTGTTTAGTTAACAGAAATGCCTACATGGGTGGGAGATACCTTCACACAGAAATTGATGTTCAACAATTTTCGTCTTTCAATTTCAACACTTTTCACGCTTTGACCCTGTAGCACCAAAAGTTTAATTTGAAAGCATCAAAAGCAATAAGCAATCAAATTTGATGCATTACTCACTCTTCTTTGAGAAAATATTAGCTTTCCAGTCAAACTATGACTTAATGAGCTAAGAATTAGGAAGCATTGCTGTTCCTTGTGCTTTTCAGATGGATTTAACACCAGAAATAGTTTCTTATTAGTTGTAAAACAATCATTTTTGATGCTTTTAGGGAGAAAAAACCTGAAAAAGGGCATGTTTTGGCAAGAGAGGAAGAAGATGCCTAACCCCTCCCCCTCTCCCTCCTTTTTTGGATAAAATGACTCAGAATATCAAAATTGCCAAATTTCTTAATAGTTAGTTTTGAAAGGTACTTATTACGTTGCTAAAAATGGCAACTAGTTTATGGCCTCAAATTATAAGTTAACGGACTCTAAATGACTTTTTTTTAAATATTGAGGGAAATTTAAATCTTAATATGAACAGAAAAAAAACATTGATATAGAATGCTTACTTTGACATTCTTTTTGACTAAGCAACAAACATTGTGACTTAGAATTGCGACTTAAAGTTGTTACTTCGAATCTGTCTTGAACATTATCAAACCTAAAATAAGAACTAAGATATGGTTGTGTTTAAGTTAGAATGATCTCTTTAAATATTTAAAGTCAAAATCGTATCAAAGTCAAACTTTTAAAACAAAATTGACAAAGAAAAATGTGACTGAAAAATGATTGTGACTTATAAATTGAGATTCAGAAAGTGTCTTCGACATAATTTTGTATCTGTGAATTAGACATAAGTGTGACTGAAACTGTGTCTCAGACCTTTCTAAGACTTAGAATGGATCTTAAAACACAATGAAGCCTAAAAAACATGACTTGATTTGATTTTGAATCGGAATTGAATCTTAGAATGTGTCTAAGACAAATTTGTTACTTAGAAAGTGTTAAACTGCGTCTAATGCATATTTGTGACTTAGAGAGTGTATTAGACATTATAGTGAATTTGTGACTTAGAATTGTGACTTAGAAATTGTCTTGAACATGATCATGTCTAAAAAGTATAAGTTTGACATAGAATGGTGACTTAAAAAAGTGACTTAGAAATAATTGTGACTTAGAAAGAGTCTTAGACATGAGCATGTCCCTAAAGTAAGTAGTTTTCTTAGAACTGTGACTTAGAATGAGTCTTGACATAGTTGTGACTTAGATAGTGTCTGAGACATAATTTGGTCTCAAAAGTATAACGTTGATGTAACTGTTACTTAGAACTGTAATTTGAAATATGTCTTACCATGGACATGTCTTCCTTGGACATACATGTGTTTGAGTTAGAATTACGACTTAGTAAAGTGTCTTAGAATTGTGACTTGGAAAGTGTCTCAGAAAATGGGAGTTTTACATATATTGTCTTGCACCTGTATCAGAGACAGTTTTGATGCTCTAACATCTTCAAAAAAGAATATTTTTGATGCTTTCCAACAGTTGAAGTTGAATTGTAGTTAAGACATTTCCAAGGGTTGGGTTATGCTAGGTTACGCAAAGCATTTAATTTTTCCAAATTGATAAAATATTGTTTGTGCAATCTGGTCACAATTAGTAGTGGAACTGTTCGTACTGTGTTTTAATCAATTCTCCCTGTCATTTCAATGACATGTTCAATTCACAACGAACCCTTGAAACCTTGTTCAAGGTATAAAGATGGAGTTGTCCCTTTTATCCATCTTAATATCGATTATTTTCAAGTGACTTGCAGGTTTATGAAGTAATAAAAGAAATTGTCAGAAATAAACACTTCTTTTAAATGAATAAACGAACAACTATATCTTCATTAGTTATTGATGCTCGGCTCGGATACAGAATAAAAGGAAATCTTTGATAAGGTGCAACTATTCAAAACTGTTCTAGAAAAATAATAATTCCAAATCGTGATTATTTTCATGTCTTCAGACTTTTCCTAGTTACTGCGTCATTTTTTATTTAAATTGTTCCAATTATACAGTGAATATTTAAAATGTGTGCACTAAGCATAATAATAACAATTGTGTGTTTTAATCAAACTTTTTTGTTCCTCAATGGCTTTTAGATTTCAGTCCTTCACCCTCTGATAATACAACCAATACATACAAATATTATTGCAGAACTAGAGCTTTTTATTAAATCATTTCCGAGCATTTTCTATTTTATGTTCCCTAGCTGCTCCTTGAACTAATAAAGTTAATTTCGCCAGATTTTTTTAAGTTAAGTTATTTGAATTTTAAAAAGTAACCCCCGCCCCCCCCCCTCCAACCTTTGTAATTCCGGGCCCTGAGGGTTAAATTAAATTTAGAATTACTAGCCTTAGAGGGCGCTTCGCGCCCATCTTCTAAATTAATTGTGAATATCTAATACTTGAATTTCTATGAAAATAACAGTTGTCCTCTAAACTTTCTTCATATTTGGATACACAATACTTGAAGAATTGACAAATGCTAGAGAGCCACATGTAAAGCGGCTCACGGGCTTTAGATAGCTCTAAACATTTAGGAATGTTTAGAGCTTTACAATATGTCAAATCTTCTCTTAAAGAAGTTCAGAGTTTTAGCAGATCTTATTCTTTAATGATGAGCAGGTTCCGAGGTATCTATTTTTCCGTCTAAAGAAAACACGAAGCAATAACTCAAGTTTATGCACGTATTATGCACTACCGGCGCAACGGTTAATTTCTAAGGGGGTGCATGGGAGAAGTATTAAAATGTAATATGAGAATTTTGATTTTTTCGTATTTGCTACTGTTTTTGCCTTTTCATTATAACTTTTTGACCAGGGGGGGGGGATTGCCACCTACCTCTACGGCTCTCCTGTATGTACTAAATAGATGCACTCAGTAAAATTAGAAAATATTATTGTAATAAATCCAATAATATATTCTTGTAGAGATGTGCTAAAGAAGATACCCAACAAACCTGTCTCTGTCTTCAGTAGGGTCAAACGGAATCAACAAGATGAGGTAAAAATTGTTTTTAAAATAAGGGTTTTCATTAATCATAAATCTCCATTTAGTTTTTGTGCACTGCAGGGTATAGAATTCTAAGAATTACACTCCTCCAAGGGAAGTGGGGGATTTTTGATGACCTGGGGACAAAAATGTAAAATGAATATCAAAGGACAACTTTTTTTATTCCTACCTGATACTTTTACACAAAAATTTTTTAATTCACCTTTTTAGCGAATTCTATCCTAAAAAGAATTCCATAACCTTTGGGCAAAAAAAAATATTTTCAAAATGGGAGGAATGATTTTTAAAGAAAATATACACCCCTGAAATTGTGTCTCGACAAATGTGGGAAATTAATAGTGAAAGCATCGTAGATTTTTTAATTTGGAATCTTCTTTACTTCTTTAAAAAAATCAATTAAAATAATTTTAAAAACTCCATATTCCTAAAATGGGATGCAACTGCAGTCAGGTATGGGAAAAACCCGGGTTTTTTTTAACTGCCCAGTGGGTTTTATTTGGGCTTATTGGTTTTTTTGGGTTTTTCAATTTGAAAGTAGTTAAAAGTTAAGTTTCCACCCATTGTAAGTTTAGTTAAATATATTCTAGGCTGGAACTATGGAGAAACTGATGGCGAAGATTAAGTTCAATGTTAAACCTTCTCGAACTCCTCTCACCAACATACACAATATTCAGGTTTGTACAGGGTGTCTCATATCATATTGGAATATATCCAAGCTTTAACACCAAAATACCCACATAATGCTTAAAGAAACCTAGTATTTTCTGCATGCAAATTTTTATATTGGCCTAATACAATGTTTAAAAATGATAAAGATTCTTCTTAAACTTTCTGATTAGTCCCAAAAATCGTAATTTTGAGCCATTAACAATCCAATATGATGTGGGACACCCTGTAGTTTACTACATTAACAATCCAATATGATGTGGGACACCCTGTAGTTTACTACATTGGGAACCATTCAACTAGGGACTAGGAAGACAAATGATAAGACCTAAAGGGACTGAAGTCTGTTTTTAAAGTTACCCTCCATTGAAATAGATGTGGAAAACATGGTCAGTTCTCTCTAGCTTGGAAAGTGTTAAATTCTGATCATTTCCTACAATTGTTTCTCCAAAAGAAATTCACAAGTGACTTTTAAAGAGATTATTCCCCAATTAAAAATACTAAACCTTTAAAGAGATATGATATCTCTTTAAACATGAAACACTGCAACTGTGCAGTGTACACAGGCCTATTTAAGGTGATTTCTAAGCTACTGGTATTATTAAGATTATTTATGACAAACTCCTGAAAATACAAAATCCTGAAAGACAAACTCCTGAAAATACAAACTCCTGAAAGACAAACTCCTGAAAAGACAAACTCCTGACGAGACAAACTCCTGAGAATAAAAACTTCTGAAATACAAACTCCATAATATCAAATTTAAAAAAATGTTTTACAATTTATATTTAATCTAGCCGCAGCGCTCGGTCCAGAAAGTGTCATAACTTAACCTAACCCATGGCCGCAGCGCTCGGCCCCCTAGCCTGTCCTAGCCGCAGCGCTCGGCCCCCCTAGCCGCAGCGCTCGGCCCAGAAAGTGTCTTAACCTAACCTAACCCTAAATAATAAAAAATAAATAATAATAAATTTGCTGGTTATTCTGATCATTGTAATACTTTGCTGCTTGAAGCATATTCAAATTACTAAAGATTGAGAATTTTTCTAGGATATTTGCGGATTTTTTCTCCTAAAGTTTATGAATTTTATCATATTTCATTCAGAGAAAAATTTCATAATTTCAGGAGTTTGTCTTTCAGGAGTTTGTACTTTCAGGAGTTTGTCTCGTCAGGAGTTTGTCTTTCCGGAGTTTGTCTTTCCGGAGTGTGTCTTTCCGGAGTTTGTCTTTCAGGAGTTTGTCTTGTCAGGAGTTTGTCTTTCAGGAGTTTGTCTTTCAGGAGTTTGTCATGGCACCCAAAAAATATTCATATATATATTTATTTACTTTGTTTTTGTGAGAAAAAAATATAGAAAAACTGAACAAAATATATATTTTCTGGATCCAGATCTTCGATTTTTTTTTTAAAAAGAACGGATCCAGGTAATCGCATAAAAATGAAGGAACCCTATGCTGCGAAATAAACACTAGAATAGAATAAACAAGATAAAGATTTGTTTATTTGTATCGATGCTTTTAGGTGACAGTAGGCCATGTGAAAATACGATTAGGTAAGTTTCATTTATCATCCTCATCACCATCACCATCATCCCCATTATTGCTATCATTACCATCATCATAACCATCATCATTATTATCATTATTATGACTACTTAAATAAGGAAGTGTAAATATGTAAACTGAATAAAATCTGTACAATCTTCTCTGAAGTTTCATTCTTTGCGGGTAACCCTGTAACCTCTAGTTCATATATTCATTTTCTCTTTTCAGATTCAGCTCCTGTTTTGGATATTCCACTTCCTGTTCAACTGAAACAGGAGAACAAGGAAAAACCAAAGTCAGAGCAAAGTCGACAAAATGAGGAACAGGAATCGAAGCAGAGTTCTAAAAAAAGGTTTGCTACACATGAATTTTCAAGAAGTTTCTCAAATTAAATCAAGAATAACTTCAGACTAAAAAATATTTTTTTTTTAAATATTCATTCAGGGGGTTTAGTGCCCAATTTATGAACTAAAAGAATAAGTATTTTCTTTTAACTGTTAACTTTCAAGCCAAGTTTTTCTACTTCATTAACTTACTAGTTACTTTGGGTCATGAAGTGTCAACACAAATTTGGACCCGTTCAGTTCATCCGTTTATTGAATTAAAGCGAACAGACAAACATGCAAAGTATATTTATAGAGAAAAAAAATAATAACCATCACTTATTTCGTGTTGAACTGGTTATTGGTCACTTTAAGTGCGGGAAATTCAATTTTTCATTTAATTCATTTAGAAGTAATTTTCAGGACAAAAGTTTGAGAAATGGATTGTTAAATCAGACATTTGTGACATCAGCGCCGGCAAATCTACCAGCTGTGATGCAAGCAAAGGCAGCAGTGCTGTCGAATCAGACAGCGGTGTTGTCAACTGTGACAGCAACGCAGTGGAAATTGATTCTTCTGAAATCAGTGTTTCTCCGAAGCCGATTAAAGCCACAGAACCAGCAACAGGAGGGTCTGCTAAACAAACAATGTCGAAATCTGAATCTACGCCACAGGAGATGAAAAGAAAGAGATCAATGGAAAGAGGAAAGCATCAAATAAAATTATTTTAAATCTGCAAAAAAAAACTTTTTATGTAAATTGCAATTCTACAAGGTTTTAATCATAATTTTGTTATTGCCACAAAACTAGATCTTTTAAACTTAGACCAGTAGATCTAGTAGATTCAAAAGTATGCCAACATCAGGTTTCAAAGATATAAGGGTTTGAAAATTAGAGTTTTTAGCAATTAGCAAGTGTTCACGTAACCGGGCCAAACTTTAGTTATTTTCTTGCTCGTCTGTAGTTGATGATAGGAAGCGGATTAAGCTGGATATATCCCAGACCTCAATCACAAGCTTCTTCAAGCCAAGAGCTGCAACCTCATCCACCATCTCAGGCAGGATATTAGAAACCAGCCCCCCATACTTGAAAAAATGTACCCCTAGTTTTATGTTAATATGTTTGAAAATATTTGTGAGTTTGTCACCTAAAGCCGGTCAAACCGTATCACTTGGGGAGATGCCTCTTAGATAAAGTAAAATGCAACAAGGATTTTTTCCTGTTTTTCTACTTGGATCCTTAGCAGTTAGCACTGTCGAGTGCTTTCCCAAACTTTATCTGATCCATATAATTTTTTATAAAAATGTTAAAAACCTAACTAATCCTGAAATAGAATTGAGTCCTGCTCAGACTACCTTCAAGATCCAGACAGATTCTCCTTATTGTAAATCTAGAGCAAAAGGAAATTCATGATTTTAAATAAAATATTTACCTTGACATTTTTTTAACAATTCTTGAAAAAATTCAAAAGTTTACAAAAGTTTACAATGCGATGAAAAAGAGTTTTTCTAGAACAAGAAATTTAGTTTTTTAGTTCAAAAATTGTTATAAACTATCGATGAATAAATAGTTAATATAAAGTAATATAAAATCATATTAAAATATAATTAATAATGGAGTTTGTCCTTAAAACATTGTCCGTTTAAAGTGAATATTTATTTAAATCTAAAGTTGTTTTAGATGCAATGATAATTGTATCTGATGACGAGGATGATATTGCTCAAGCAATCTCCAGCAGCTCCGTTCAAGACTGTAAATCCAAAACTCCGGAGAAGTCCAGTTCCGTTGCAGAACGTCAAACTAGTATTTCAGAGAAACGGAGCTCCGTTAAAGAACGGTAAGTTTGATTTGTATTACTTTTTTGTTCATTGTGTACATTTTAATTGAATTTAATGATTTTGAGCTAGGTTGCTAAACTACATACCGTCGATTTAAATACTTATCTGTAGTTCTGCAGTGTAGTATGTTATCCCAGGAATTATATGTGCCAATGGCGAAAATGTCGGGTAGATAATTCTGGACTTCATATGTTCGACTTCGGTTTGTCGGAGACTAAATGTTTGTAGGGATCATTCATGTAAAACATGGACAAATCCTGTATATAGATCTTGGGGAAGTTAGCTGGGGGTAAGATCTTATCTTATCTTATCTATAGATGAAAATAACTTCACTGCACATCTATTTTAATCTACGGTAGACAATGTAATAAATCCAGTCCCACTCCCCGGACTTTTTATTTTAAATGATTTATCCCTTTGTGTAAATAGTTTGTTGGGTTTTTGTTCAAATAAAATGTTGGATGAAAAGCATAAGACAAACAAAAGAGATAAGTAATGTTGTTAATTTAAGGAGAATAGTTTACAGGTCTTCAAGAGACTTTTCTACTTCAAGACAACACAAAACCTAGAAAACTACAATAACACATTATTCGTCAGTTAAAGGTTTCAAGGGTTTCGTTGTGAATCAGGCGTTGTCATTTTTGCATGGAAGGTCATATGAAAGTTATAAATCTTGACCTTGAGCTTTGAGTTAAACATAAGTAGAGCTGAGATAAGAAGAATTCAGTTCATTAAACCTTTAACATGCTCGGACTTCATGATCACACAGGACTAGTAGTAGTAAATTAGGGGGACTGAAAGCGTTGTTTCAAGTGGCCCTACATGCAAAGATGGCTATGCTTCACCATTTCATGGATTGATTATTTTTTTGATTGAATGATTGATCCATTGATTGATTGATTGATCCATTGATTCGTTGATTCATTGAATCATTGATTGATGTAAAGATTATCTGCCTCGTTTGTCTGCTGCTACTGTAAGATCGGGTTCTCTAACCTCCTCTCCTGGAAACAGCACGAGAACAGTCATAGACCAGGATTCAGGGTGAGTGATAATTATTATAAAATCCAATATTTGACACCCCCTCCCTTCCCTTTATCCTTTATTTCAATTTAGACCAGAGCTGAGGCTAGAATCTGTGATTGATGGTCTGGTAATAATGTCGGATATCCGTTATAATTTTTAAAGGCCTAACAAATACTACCGAGATTGATACAAATCAAGACTTGAAGTCTAATTTTCCCAAGTTTCGGAGTAAAATTGAATACAGTTTACGTAGCGTAGGACCTCATCTCATTTTTGATTAAGTATAGGCTCACCTAAAGATTTGCGTGCGGGTGAAGAACGTCACTAACAGTTTGATTTAACTTGATTTAATTTAATATCAATTTTGTTCGTCACCTTTTAAGACAATTTTTGGTTAGGGGGCCATGCATATAGGATATGTTCAATATTCATGCATGTAAATACCGCGATCGTCATGTCTGATTCACAATGGTATCTGTGAAAGCTTTGTCTGAACAAGAACGAATGGGATATCCATATTCTCTCTGGGTTAAATTGATTATTTTCAATTGCCAAAATTTGAAACTTTTCAAATCTAGAAAAAAAAATACGATATCTTTTACATTTTAATTATATTAAGGTTTGGGTTTCATTCTGAATCTACCTCTTGAAATGGAGGGTTACTTAAATTTCCAGCAACGGTCCCTTTACGCTTATTTGTTCGCTTTATATGATTAATTTGATGGCTATTTTGTATATCCTAGTGTGGTATTTGTGATCAAGTATTTGCAACTGAAAAACTGTTGAAGAAGCATGATGCCTGCAAGAATTCTACTCCAAATGAACTTGAAGAAGGTTTGTTAAGTGATCGGTGCTGGGAACTTTAGAATGGATAACCTTAATCCCAACTACTTAATCCTAATATCCACTGTGGAAACTTTTAATCTTAGTCCTAACACTCTTTTTCTCTCTCTTTGAATATCCGTACATTGTTTTCTCCAATGAGAGTTCACAGTTCGTAAATTGTATTGACCAATGACAGCCTTGAAAATATATTCTATCCCATGAGAGAAAACAGCAATTGCCAACAAATTAAGAATTCTGATATCCACCATTCTAAAGTTCCCAGCTCTGGATACATTTTCTGTGGTAATCTAAAGAAATAAACGATTGGAAACTTACTGTAAATATTTTATTCCAATCCATTTTTTCAGAATTTTTCCATCTTCTATGATACTTTATTCTTTTATTAGATTTGTGTGTAAATAATTTCAAAGTTACCGCCGGGGATGGGGCCAGGGGGGGGCGTTAAATAATAAATATTTATGAGTTTAACATTTATTTTATAAGATCAGTAAAAATTGCATATTGAAGCCGAATAATTTAGTTGATAATTTATATTAGAATTATTTACTATAATTAGGAACCTTTGACTGTCCTCTGTGCGAGTACTCGGCTAAGTCTGGAAAAGGATTACGGGTTCATTCGAAGAGAAAACACGGGATAAACTCGGAGTCAGAAACTCCAGACCAATCCAAATCAGGAATACCAATTTTATTATTCTTTAGTTTTCAATATATTTTTATTTTTCCTTCAGTGGTCAGCGTATATAACAATACAGTGTGGGTTACTTAAATTGTGATATAATACAGATCGACCATTCTTTATTGTGTAGCATTTCAGTACCGGATAATGTACTGAAATAATATGTCTGTATTATATCATTATTTCAGTGAGTTAACCATTTTGTAATTTGTATTGATAAATGCTGACCACAGTGATTCGCTAGTGATTTTTTTGTTTATTTCTGATAAAAGATCGAGAGTAAAAGAAGGAGTTTGTGTAAAGCTTAACAGACACATATTAGGGCAGCTCAGAAACTGGTTTTAAATGTAAACAAACAAAAGTTAGTAAACAGTAAATGCCATAGCGTAGACCTGCACTGCAAAGGTATTATGACCTATAATTGATATCTTTGTTATTTTTTATAAAAACAGTCACTGAAATGCCAAATCCTTACATATCCTAAACCCACGTACCACTCATCCCACCACACGTTAAAAGAAAGAACATTTTCTAAGAATAAATATTGTGTTCAGAAGAGTGCGGATATTATTGCAAAAAGTGCAAATATTTTACTCTCAGCAAGGTAGCCCTCAAGATTCATGCAGTAGACGTTCACCAAGATTCAAACCAGGTAGAGGTACCTAACTAGGGGATGAAGACTTAAACAAGGGGGAGTCTCATATAAAACTCCGGATCCGGATCCAGATCGTTTCTTTAAGATTTACTGAATTTTGTTTAACAAAACTGAATTTCAAATTTTTTTCCGCTTATTTTTATGACTTGATGAACCACTTAGATATTAGAAAATTTTTATAATTTCTCTTTTTTCAATAGTTCAGATTTGGGTTTTGAGAGTAAAAAAGGTTTTTTTGCTCTTTTTATTGATATTTTACCCCTTGGATCCGGGGATCTGTATATTTTTGCGGATCCGGATCCAGGAACCTAAAATCTTCCGGATCCAACGGATACGGATCCTAAGCACTGAATTATAAAACACACATATGGTCACATATTAAACAACAGTAAAGACCCCCCCCCCTGAGGTTGGTTGTTATTTGGGTAAAAACAAAAATAAGACTTCTTTCAAAACTATTTTTTTGTCAATTCGAATTTCCCTCTCAACATGTCAGAATATAATATGACTCATATTTGCACTGGCAGACATGTTATCTATTTCTATTTATTTCATCATTAAAAACCTTGGAAAAATAGTTTATCAGGGCAATATAATCCTCTACAGTGGGACCCCTAAAACTGTGAAATCGATTGCGACTTTTAAGCAATCTTATGAGTGTTTAATGTTGATAAAAGATTATGGTTTTCTATAGTTTTATACCTTGAAAATAAACTTTTGAAGTGAAATGAATCTGTACACACTGCACAATTGTTGTGTTTCATGTTAATTTGACTATTTAACATCATTGCTGAAGTCAAAAAGTCGTCTTGATATTCTGGAGTTGAAGGGTCCCACTGTATGAAATAAAACTGAAATATTGTATACTAGCTGAAGAAACCGGCGTTGCCCGTGGAATAAAAAATAGAGTATTTTTTAAAAATCGAATTTTTTAAAAAGAAAAACTGCTTTTAAAAAAATCTGTCACCCCGGGTTACCCATGGGTTTCCTAAAAAATCCGCCGATTTTATCCAGCTGTTTGGCCAGCTCTATAGCTAACATATAAATAAATATATTTGAGCTAAGAGCTTTATTTTAAAGATGATTTTCCTAGGATTTTATTCATCAATGCAGTTTGTGTGGTGCTATCTTCATAACTTCCAAGGCTCTAACCATACATACCCATTCTATTCATGTAAGTGTTTAGTCAAGACCCTAAAGTGACTGAAAGCGTTATTTCAAGTGACCCTCAATGCAAGGATGACAATGCCCGATAAACAACTGTATCCTTAAAAGCTTTGTCAGATCAAGGTTTAATTAGAAATCAATGTTTATTATTTTAACAACTGAGTATTTTCAATTGTGGTTTCTCTTCGAAAGTGACTAGCGTTTTTCTACTGCAGGATAACATATAGGAATTATCAGAAATAAACATATTTAAAACTTAAAAACAAAGTTTTCTTCCCCCATTGTTGATTATATAAAGGTTTCAAGGTACCATGGAGGGCTACTTGAAATTATGCACATAGTTTCTTTATGTGCCTGACATCTGTCCACGAAATAATGTCAACATCGATTCTTAATAATCTAGAAATTCCCAAGTTGCTTTTATTAGGAATGTTAACATAATTTCAAGCAAACCTACAGGAATAGAGTGGCATGACCAATTCACAACGGTACCATTTAAACCTTTCTCTGATCAAGTATGATATGTATATATTTTTGTGTGTTAGAAAACTTATTATTTTCAGTTGTGGTTTCTCTACAATAGTGATTAGCGCATTTCTTTTCTCCGAAACAATGGAAAAATATATGAGACTTAAACATTTTTCAAGCTAGAAAACCAAGATTATTCTCCACATTGTTTGTCAGATGAAGCCCAAGGTTTTAAGGGTAGCGGAGGTTCACTTAAAATTTCAAGTACAGACTCTTATGGAAATAAGTTGACTAAGTGTTCTTATTATCCACGCGCGTTGACTAATAAAAAAAAACTGGCTGGAGTAAGACGACATTTTTTCTTAGCTATTTATTTTATTTCAGAACATTACTTAGATTTGAAGCTGCAATTTTTAAAGATTTTTTTTGAATTCTCCTACCTTTACGCTAATCTTACTGGCGTAGTTTTCATGTTTTTGTTAATGATTTATGAATTTAAGGAGTTGACAAAAGGTATAATCAAACAAACCCGGCCAGGGTTGGTTTTAAGCTCGTCAGTTGTGTCTACTCGTGATTACAAAAAGAAAAGAGGGTGATAAGAAAGGATAATAATGTTTTTTGTTCTGCTAACTAAATTGTATAATTTTTTTTCAGCACAAGAAGAAGGGTAACTGTGACTGTGTGAAAAAATGTGATTTGTGCAAATTTGTTGCAACAACTTTGAAAGGGTTAATGAACCACATGAGAACTCATGTAAACAGCTCTAGCCAGGTTAGTTTGGGTATAGTTAAACTCTTTTTGTACATTTTTCAAAATATATTTTATGAACAAGATTTTTTCTACTCTAAAGACATTTAAATTTAAACCTGAACCTATGAAGGAAAACTTTGTGTCAAATCAACTTTTTTGATCTCTCTCTCTCTCTAAAATTATTACAAAATTAATTGCTAGCACAACATTTATTTAAAGTGATATATGGTTAAATATGATTTTTTTTTTGAGTTTTTTTTTGGTTTTAAATGCAGATTAAATAAGAATTTCTAAGCTGGATCCAGTTTATAAACTACACTCTAAATTCCCGTCTGACAGCAGCTTTGCAACTCTACCTTCTTAACAGGTTGAAGAAGATCAAGGACTTTTCCAATATCTCCGTTCTTGGCCTCCAGGAGGCTAGCTAACCATCCTCCCTCGTTGCTGAACCCCATGTTCATCATTGCCTGCAGAGCAACCTTGATCTTGGGATCAGCATGCTGAGCAGCCTCAGGAGCTGAAGGAGCAGGTACAGCAGTCTCAGGAGCTGCATCTTCTTTAGCAGGGGTAGGTTCTGCCTCTGGTAGTTTAGGGTAGATTTTCTCGTTGTTCTCTGGTACAGCATCAACTACTGCCCAAGCCTCATCTACATCTTGATCAGGAGTAGCAGACCCGGATTTGGGTTTTTCAGCTTCTGCTTCCTTCTGGATAGGAATTACTTTAGCATCAACTTCAGGAGTAGATTCTTTGGATTCAGTTTTTTGTTCTGCTGGAGTAGTTGAAGCAGTGGAGCTTGAAGAAGTTGTGGAGCTAGTGGTACGTACTCCCTCAGGTGTCTCAACAGAAACATCAACACTTATATCAAAGGGATCCAGGGCAGCAGCAATCAAATTCCCCATGTTTAATAAGTAAGCTGTATGAGCTGCATTGCTATCTACAGCAGCAGCACCTCCAGCTGCAGTAGCAGCATTAGCAGCTTCAGTAGCTGCTTTATGCGCAGCTTCAGCAGCTGCCTTGTGAGCAGCTTCATGAGCAGAGTGAGCTGCAGCATGTGTAGGAGTTCCACACTGTTCTTGCCCCATCCATCCTTGTATGAAGCTATTGAAAAGATTAGGAGGTGTCATCATATTTGGGGAACCTCTCATGCCCCTCATTCCTCTCATTCCTCCCATTCCTCCACGTCCCCTCATGCATCCTCTGCCCCAAGGTCCAGAAAACTTGACTTCATTCTCATCTTCCTCATTCCTACCTTCGTGCTTATCCTTCATCTTCTGATCCATCCTTTCTTGAAGCTTATGGAGGCGCTTGAAGAAGTGACGGGGCCATTGTCCCTGAGGAGAAGAGAGGCGCATCATGTTATGTTCCTTGTGCTGACCTTTGCCCTCACATTTTTCACAAAGATCATAGTCAGGACACACCATGCACTTGTATCTAGCTCCAACCACAGGTCCATCACAACCATCACAGCTAACTCCAGGGTGGATTTCACCAGTAGAATTCTTCTCCTCTTCGACTTTCTTCTCCCCTTTAACTTGAATACTGATCTTGTAAACTGGTCCTGTCATCTCAGACATAGCAATCATAAGCTCTTCATCACTAGCAATAGTAACATTATCTCCATCAGCATCAGTCCAGGTGATGTTGATATTCTTGCCGTTGAGTTGAGGGAAAACAACAACCAGCTTCTCCTTCAAGTTGTTAAAGTTGTTGGTCATGTCCTTGCAGATCATGAACCTTCTCACCTCCTCCTCTCCGTCCTGCTCCATCTTCAGATATCCCTTGTATGAAATGTTGTCTGCCATCTTGATAATTTTCTCTCGACTGTGAAATGTTCTGTATCCGTGTAGTTTATATACACTGAGAAAGTATGATGAAATGTAGTTGTGGCTAGGTTCTGGGGCCTTCTGGTATATTCTAGGCTGAGTATTTTACGCAGTAGATACAGCTGATATCCTGACCAATCACAGAGGACTATTCAGCTCTAACCAATCAGAACACCGGCAATATATTATTCGACCAATAAGGAATCAGGACAGGTTTAAAAACACAACACAGACACAAGTGCAGAATTATTTTTAATTTTATGATGAATTATTTTTCATAACGTTCTAGCAATGAGTCATTAAACTTGTATAAACGTTTGAATCCTAAAAGATGGGGGGGGGGGGGGCTAAGAATGATCTAAGTAAGGAAAATGAATAAGTAGGATTTGATCCAGAAAATTTAAAAATGATCCAGAGTGAAATAAGGGAATGAGAGAGGATATAAGAGAAAGAGAGAAATAGAAAGGAGTATATATGAATGAAAACAAAAGGATGAAAAGAAGTGAACTTAAGATGGAGAGAAAGTTAGAATTGTTGTAAAAGAAGAAAGAATTGGAGAAAAATAAAGATAGAATTGGCCGGAGAGAAAGAAGAAAGAATTAAGGAGAAAGAAGATATAGTTTGAGTGAAAGAAGCAAGGGCGTATACAGGGGGGGAAAGGGGGCATTGCGCCCCCCCCCTCTAGATCTCAGAGCTATCACAGATAAATGAACGGAAAGCTTTATTATATAGATTTAATTGTACTCCTACTTTTTTGCACAACAGAAGTCATAATTATTTTCTGTACCTTTGTCTTTTTTTCATCTCATAGAATTTCAGTTTAAGTTGAGTTTTTCAGTTTAGAAGATGTATTTTACTATCTCTAGTTTAAAGGGCCTTGGAAAGTTAAGATTGATTGTAAAGAAAGAAAATAGAATTAAAGAGAAAGAAAATAGAATTAAAGAGAAAGAAGATTGAATAACAGCTAGAAAGAAGATAGAATTCAAGAGAAAGAAAATAGAATTAAAGACAAAGAAGATAGAATTAAAGAGAGAGAAAATAGAATTAAAGACAAAGAAGAAAAAATTAAAGAGAAAGAAAATAGAAATAAGAAAGAAGATGAAATTAATGAGAAAGAAGATAGAATCCAAGAGAAAGAGGAATAATTAAAGAGAAAGAAGAAAGAAGATAGAATTAAAGAGAAAGAAGTAAAAATTGGAGAGTAAGAAGATAGAATTGAAGAGAAAGAAGAAAGAATTGAAGAGAAAGAAGATAGAATTAAAGAGAAAGAAGATAGAATTAAAGAGAAAGAAGATAGAATTAAAGAGAAAGAAGATAGAATTAAAGAGAAAGAAAATAGAATTAAAGAGAAAGAAGATAGAATTTAAAAGAAGATAGAATTAAAGAGAAAGACGAAAAATTGAAGAGAAAGAAGAAAGAATTGAAGAGAAAGAAGGTAGAATTGACGAGAAAGAAGAAAGAATTGAAGAGAAAGAAGATGGAAATAAAGAGAAAGAAGATAGAATTATAGAGAAAGAAGATCAAATTGAAGAGAAAGAAGATATGATTATAGAGAAAGAAGATAGAATTGAAGAGAAAGAAGAAAGAATTGAAGGGAAAGAAGATAGAATTGAAGAGAAACAAGAAAGAAGAGAGAATTACAGAGATAGAATATGAAATTGGAGAGAAAGAAGATAGAATTAAAGAGAAAGAGGATGTAATCAAAGAGGAAGAAGATAGAATTACAGAGAAAGAAGATAAAATTAAAGAGAAAGAAGATAGGATTATAGAGAAAGAAGATAGAATTGAAGAGAAACAAGAAAGAAGAGAGAATTACAGAGAAAGAATATGAAATTGGAGAGAAAGAAAATAGAATTAAAGAGAAAGAAAATAGAATTAAAGACAAAGAAGATAAAATTGAAGAGAAAGAAGATAAAATTGAAGAGATAGAAGCTATAATTAAAGAGAAAGAAGAAAGAAGAAAGAATTACAGAGTAAGAATATAAAATTGAAGAGAAAGAAGATAGAACTAAAGAGAAAGAGGATATAATGAAAGAGAAAGAAGATAGAATTATAGAGAACTAGAAATTCAAGGCGCTTCGCGCCCTTCTTTCTAGGCTTTTAGGGCGCTTCGCGCCCATCTTCTTTTTATATTGTGAACATGTTCTTTTTGTTTACATTTAAAAACAAAGAAGAAGAAAATTTTGCGGATTTTTAACAAAAAAATCGCGGATTTTCGCGGATGTAAATTTTTTTACAAAATTAAAAACCTTTAAAACACATTTTTTTTATTTTTATCATTTATAAACCTTCCCTGGGATAACACGAGGTGCCACAAAAAATTTGGGCCCGATCGGTTCAGCCGTTTTGACGTTTATTGGATACAAACAGACAAACAGACAAGCCAAATTTATATATAGATAGAAGAAGATAAAATTGAAGAGAAAGAAGATAAGATGAAAGGGAAAGAAGATATAACAAATCAAGAGAAAGAAGATAACTTTAAGAGAAAGAAGATAGAAATGAAGGGAAAAAAGATCAGATTAAAGGGAAAGAAGATAAAACTAAAGAGAAAGAAGAAAAATACTATCATCTTCCGATGCATTTTATCCCTATTTCATCACCCTAAATCCTGAATACTTAGTGGGGGGAGGGGGGTTAGCAACAGTTCAAGGTTTTAGAAATTACAGTTTTCAAATTTCATCATACAATTCTTACATGCAGATTAACCCCCTGCGTTATTTAAAATTGTACAATAATAAGGCGGAAAATTGTCGTCTGGGTGCTAACAAATTGTATTTTTCTTCAAATCCATCTACTCTTTAATGAAACTTTCTTACAACTTTGAAAATTTAAATTCTTTTTTACATCTTGCAAGTGCCTAGGTTAAGATCCGGATTCATTAAAGGGAGTGACCGGCTATTTAAGGTAGTTGAACTGAGTATGCAGTGTTGTGGAAAACTTCTTTCGAATTCATTTGAGACATATTAAACTTTTTAAAGATCTGTAAATCCTGAGTTTGAGCGCAAATTCGACGTTCAAAACTCCTACTTTGAGGGTGGAAACGTTTTCAGAATTAGTTTTTTAAATTATTTTTTTTTTCATCAAAATTTTTCATCTAAAGCACTGCGGCTTACACTAACAACCTTAAACTTTATTTTTTAATTTTGATAAAATACATGTTACAGACAATTTGCTGTATTTAGAAGTTTACTGTCTTGCGTTACGTAATGTACAAGCTTTACATTATGTCAATTTTCTTTTTTAGGCTGCTGAGGGATATAATTCACGAAATGCAGAGGCTATTGATATGGAAGATGATTTGAAGGCTACGGGGAATGGATCGGAGGCTGATGAATCCGTGTTGGAGGATGAGGGTGAAAGTAAACCTAAAGGAAACCATATCCGCAACATCACATCTGACTGGGATTAATTCTATGAAGAATATTATTCAGCTGATTTTATCCTGATTCTCATGCTAGATTCTTTGATCGAGGTTCAATAGTTCCAACTTATATCTATCTATCTAGATCTAGATCCATTATTCCATTTTATTTGGCAGGCTGAATCCAGGGTTTTGTAAAGTTTAAGTCAATGTTATCCAGTCGTTTTCACTGGTTTTTAGAATCCTTGGTTTACTTCTTATTCAGCTGAATTTATCAAATCAGTAATTAATTAGAAATTTTGTCAGTTAATTTTTGCGGATTTACTGGATTCTTTGTTACCGTCACCGAAATCTGGATTTTTTTCAAGCGTTCTCAGCTTGTTCAGGATCCGGACCGTCATACCATAATATCTAGGTCTCATCCTTAGGTATGAATAATACCTGTTTATTTGTATGAAATACGTAAACTGAATGAACCCAAACTTTCGAGTTTTTGGAAGAAATTTCACATTAGCTCAAAACTTGATCCGGATCCGGTTCACATTAGCTCAAAACAGGATCAGGGTCCAGATTACATTAGCTCTAAACTGGATCCGGATCCGGTTTAAATTAGCTCCAAACTGAATCCGGTTCACAATCACATTAGCTCAAACATGATCCAGATCCGGTTCAAATTAGCTACAAACTTGATCCGGATCCTGTTCACATTTTCTCAAAACTGGATGACATATCCTTAAAGCTGGATCCGGATCCGGTTCACTTAAGCTCAAACTAGATCCGGATCCAAGTGAATGTATTATTCAAAGATTGAAATATTTTAATGTTGTATCTTAAATACAATTTCTGCTTTATAATCTTATTTCTGTTTATTATAGAGTAATCAGATTTGACTACGTCATTTAATTATGGTCAAACAATTATTGAAAAAAAACTGTTGAATTTGATTTAAATAAAATTTCTAATCCCATATATGGAATTCAAAAATATGTAACACAATTACAGGGTTGACCACACTGATAGAGACTGTAAAGACAACTTCAAAGTTAAAACTCTTAAAAATGACGAACATAAGTTTAAAATTAGTCCTCTGCCTTTAATTGAATGCTTTCTTTAAATGTTTTATTTAATGATTTGATGAACAAGTATGAAGTTTACAGTCTCAGGGAATCATAAATATGAGGAATCGACAGTATACATTCCGTGCAGTCGTCTTTGAAGTCGCATCCTTAGTGGGTGACCCTTCAGCTTCATAATTATCTAAAGGATTTTGACCAGTAGTTACATGAGTTTAGAGAATGGTTTCATGACCTGTTGAAAAATCAGGGTTACCCATAAAGTACGCTGAAGTTACCAAAAGTGAGACTTTAAAGACTACCCCAGAGATAAGAGAGTTAAAATATGCGATATTTCCCACAGCATGTTCTATTGTGTACAAGTATTGTACACGACCAATCAGCAAACATCTGTATTCAGGGATATTTAAGGATTCTTTGGATACGAAACAAAAAACTTCAAAAAAGGCTGAATTCATAAATGTTGTGTTTCATGTTTAAAATTGGAGTGTTTCTTTAAAAGTTGTAAAACTTAACCCCTGAATGTGTATTACATGTTCAACAAGTGGCCGTGAGATGACACTCTAAAAACCTATAGTAATAACGTAGCATGTCGTGCCGGGTCAACTTAGGCCTACGTAGCCCACCCTGTGAAGGGAGAAAAGCAGTCTGTAAAGTCTGTGGGCTACCCATATACTCTTGAAATATGACGTCCTTTGTTAAATGAAGTCTGCTGCCTTCATTATAGTCTTTAAATATCTTACTCAATAATCAAGAAAAGAAAAACAGTCGTCTGGAGTTTCATCTGTTTGGGTAACTCTGTATTTTAGACTCCTGTAGAAGCCAGTGCTTCGCAACATATTCACTTCCTGGATCCGGATCCGTAAAACTTAGCGGATCCAAGGATTTCAAATTGCTTTTTGGTAAGAAAAATAGTTGAGCCTATTGTTTAATCAACGTATACTAATATTTTATATTCTCTGCCATGCTTCAGTGTTTTAATACCTTCTAACAGAATCACAAGGGAGCAACAATATAATTCATTAAAGGGACTGTGAGCTAAATTCCTCACGAATCTGTCAGCTTTATAAGGATTATTGACAGTTTTAACAACATTCTAAATACTCAATATTTTGGTTTTTCTCACATCTTCTAAAGCGAGTGTTCGTAAAAACCTAAAGGGGTAAGAACTGAACCCGCTAAAATTATAAGCGATAAAATCCAAATTTGATGCGGACAATAAAATCGTTTTCACTTGAAATTATAAATCTAAACTCTACAGTACATAATTCCTCCAAGTTGAGGCTTCTGATACTGTCATTTCTATTTTCAGTTTTTCCATTTTTGATTTTTCTTTTAATTAGATAATTTTTTGGCCTAAATTCAATTCTTAATTCTATAGATGTCCGTGAATCATTTTTCAGAAAACTTGAATTATTTTGAATAAAAGAATCTGATTGTTATGACGACCCCGAGGTTCTTTATTAAATCCTACATCACTATAGTGCATAAACACAGGTGAAATATAATTGTACTGCTTCACTTGACAGGATTACCCATAAAGTAAACCCTTGGTAAAGTAAAATTCCCCTAACTTCCCTGTATCGTAGTTGTAAATAATACTGTTACCATTTAAAAGTAGTATGAAATATAGGAAATCTAAAGCCTGAAAACTGATGTGGGTAAATCTACAGAGTATAGGAAAAAAAATTATTTACAAGTAAAAAATAAACAAATAAAATGATACTAATGCATCATGGAAAACCGGAGCTCTCTAACAGACTCTCCGCCTTTCATTCGCCTTGTACAACGAGTTAATCTCTCGTCTTCTGAATCTTTGTGCTAACTGACTCCATTTCGGTTTTAGTCCAATCTGATCCTACTTTCTCCTTCTAAGCCGTGGTTCATGCCTGTTGGCTTGAATTTAAACTAGGATCTGGGGCAATGGTGGCTTCGGTTTTCCATGCATTCAAACATGAGTTCAAAGCATGCTTTCTGGGTTGTCATTTTCTAACAACAATTATTTCTCAAAGTTGGCGACTTATCATCCGCCCCACTTTCTGTCTGAACTATAGCTATATACAAAAGGGCTAATACGTTGCCCTGTTTATAGGCCAGACTACTTGCAATCCAAGCTTAGTTACGAGTCCGTATGAGGACTGAAGGGGTTAGATCAATGGAACTATCCAATCTGAGTTTAGCTCCGGGTTCGTGTGAGAACTGAGCGGGTTCAATGGACCTATCCTTATTCCGAGCTATTAAGCTCACACCAGTTACAATATTAACATTTTTTTTTAAATAATAACGAATTTTGACAAAAATACAACCGTTTTTTAGACAAATTTTATCGAATTCAATACTATTTTTTACTCATGAATATAACCATTGTTTCAATTCTCTTTGTTATAGATAACTTCTATGAAATTATGAGTTTAGCATTTCTACATTTTTGTGTAATAATTCTCGATTTTATTGAAATGTTTTTATTTTTCGTCATAAAGTTTCAGATTGATAAAAAAATAAAAGTTTTTAATGATATTTTCGGTCAAAAATATTGATATTTTTAGTTGTAAAGAGTTGCATTTCCGGTCAAATATGTTTGAATTTACGGTTATATTAATTATTTTATTATATATATAATGTATATTTGGTTGCTATATTTCAGGTGGTTTTATTATTTTATCAGCATTATATATTTGGTTGCTATATTTTGGATGGTTAGATTATATTATTATAGTGTTATATATTTGGTTGCTATATTTTGGGTGGTTATATTATATTATCAACGTTATATATTTGGTTGCTATATTTTGGATGGTTAGATTATATTAATATAATGCTATATATTTGGTTGCTATATTTTGGATGGTTATATTATGTTATTTTAATGTTATATATTTGGTTGCTATATTTTTGGGTGGTTCTTTTATATTATTATAATGTTATATATTTGGTTGCTATATTTTGGATGGTTAGATTATATTATCAGCGATATATATTTGGTTGCTATATTTTGGATGGTTATATTATATTATTTTAATGTTATATATTTGGTTGCTATATTTTGGGTGGATATATTATATTTTTAGATTTACAATCGTGAATCATAAGCGGCCATATATTTACTTAATATTTTATTTATATACATACAAGGTGTCATTGAAAACAATGTGTTAAGACTTTTCAGTTTCTCATACACCGTAGTATTGTGTTAAAAAGTGCTCCAGTAGTAGTAGGTACAATTCCTATAAATCGGATGGATAAGCATTGATGAAATATTTTTCTCTAAAATCCCGTTTTAACCTTTAAAAGTATGACTAACACTCGAAATTGTGCTCAGTCCCACTTCCAAAGATGTAAATTACTTTTCACACACTAAACTTCGTTTTGTTGTGTGTGTGACATCAGTGTATAACAATGCCCATAAATTGGAAGGTCCTCGTAGAAACATTTTACTTTAAACTGCTGTTTTAAACTTCAAAATGTATAGCAATCGAAATGTAGGTGGTCCCTTATCTTAATGTAGGTGGTCCCTTATCTTAATGTAGGTGGTCCCTTATCTTAAGATTTTCAACAAAAATCTAACATAGTTTTTCGTCATTTATATGAAAAATTCTCAATTCTATGATTGAAAATGTGCAATTTATTCTATTCTATCGTATAAAACCTAAGAATTAAGTTATAATTAGAAGTTCATGTTTGTTTGAAAACAGAGCCTAATTTTGAATACTTTTTCAGAGACACTCTGTTTATTGTATATAATATTTATGCATACAGCATTTTTTTGTAAAGAAAAGTTCAGTATTGATATTTTTATATTTCTATATTCCTATTCTGGTATTTAAAGGTTCTCGTCATGTGTCGTCATTCTATATACGTTACAAACCAAGCCTGCAGTTGATTTTGCGTTATATACAGTAACTGGATCAGTGTTTAGTGTTCAGTGTTCACTGTTAAGTGTTAAGTGTTCAGTTTTCAGTGTTCACTGTTAACTGTTAAGTGTTAAGTGTTAAGTGTTCAGTGTTCAGTGTTCACTGTTAAGTGTTAAGTGTTAAGTGTTCAGTGTTCACTGTTAAGTGTTCAGTGTTCAGTGTTCAGTGTTCAGTGTACAGTGGTCAGTGATCAGTGTTCAGTGTTCAGTGTTCAGTGTTTAGTGTTCAGTGTTCAGTGTTCACTGTTAAGTGTTCAGTGTTCAGTGTTCAGTGTTCAGTGTTCTATGTTTATTCTTTATTGTTTATTGATCAGTGTTCAGTGTTCAGTGTTCAGTGTTCAGTGATCAGTGTTCAGTGTTCAGTGTTCAGTGTTCAGTATTCAGTGTTCAGTGTTCAATGTTCAGTGTTCAGTGTTCAGTGTTCAGTGTACAGTGGTCAGTGATCAGTGTTTATTGTTCAGTGTTCAGTGTTCAGTGTTGTGTTCGGTGTTCAGTGATCAGTGTTTAGGGTTCAGTGTTCAGTGTTCAGTGTTCAGTGTTCAGTGTTCAGTGTTCAGTGTTCAGTGTTTAGTGTTCAGTGTTCAGTGTACAGTGTTCAGTGTTCAGTGTTCAGTGATCAGTGTTTATTGTTTATTGTTCAGTGTTCAGTGTTCAGTGTTCAGTATTCAGTATTCAGTGTTCGGTGTTCGGTGTTCAGTGATCAGTGTTTAGTGTTTAATGTTTTGTGTTCAGTGTTCAGTGTTCTGTTTTTATTATTCAGTGTTCTGTGCTGTGCTCAATGTTCAGTGTTTAGTGTTCTGTGTTGAGTTTTCAGTTTTCAGTTTTCAGTGTTCAAAGTCCTGTGTTCAGTATTCGGTGATCTGTGCTCAATTTTCAGTGTTTAATGTTCTTTGTTCAGTGTTTATTGTTCTGCGTTCAGTGTTTTGTGATCTGTGCTCAATGTTCAGTGTTCAGTGTTTAGTGTACGGTGTTTATTGTTCGGTGTTCAGTGTTCAGTGTTCAGTGTTCTGTGTTCTGTTCTCTGTTCTCTGTTCCCGTGTTTTGTGTTCTGCAGTTTTTTGGGTTTTTTTCGCTCTGTTAATTTCCCTTTTTATAAATTTCCGTTTTTATAAATTATAAATTAAATTTTCAGTTAAAGTAAATAGCATTCTTTGAACCCTCAAAATTTAAGGATGATAAAACAATATTAACCCATAATAGGTTTAGCCCCCTCCTCCACTCCCCCCCCCCTTCAGATGATCATATGGCAATAAAAAATAAAAATGGAATTCACTAACTGCAGGTTTAAATATTTATTGATTCTTTTAAGAATGATATGACTGAGGATTAAAAGTAGTATTTCCAAAAATCTATGGCGCCAAATTCGCCGAATTCGTATGAAATTTTGCAAAAAAAATCGTATTATCGTTGAAACCGATTTTTTTCCGCGCCATTAAAAGAGCGGTCTCTCGTTGTTCAAACAAAGTATGGATATCCAGAAAGAGAAAAAGAACGAATTAAGGTGGAACTTTAAGGTTTCCACATTGTATGTGAAAATTAAGCGCTCGGGATTAATTAAAGGTTTCCAATTTCAAAGTTTTCATCTCTGGAAAATAAAAGTCATAACTGTCTTTTTCCTAATTATTGAATAATGAATATCATTGTAAATGTGAAAATGTGGCGAATTTTGTTCAACGAAAATTTCGTTGGAAACCCTATTAAAAGCAAGTTTATATTCAAAAAGTATGTCTGAAGCAAGTGTCAACTATTTTTCTTTATTCATAAACATTAACATATAAGTAAAAGGAGCATGTTTACACATAAATGTCGTACATTTACAAATATGTAAATTACATTCGCGTGGCTAAAATTTTATTTATTTCTCAAGTTAAGTAGTTAGATACGTTTAATCAAAAAGCATTTTCAATGTATTTTGTATTTTTATTTAAAATTTTCCTTCAAGATCAATCTTTCTTAATTGTTATTAAGTTTTTAAATATTCTTCTCCTATCTTTTTCTTTTGATTCAATATTTAATTCTTTCTATATCTATAAATCTATATTTTGACACACATTTTCTCTATCTATCTATAAATATTGATATTACTTATACAATATGTATATATTTAAAGCGTCAGCTAAAACGTTTCAATATATTTAGGATATATCTATCTATCTATCCATCTATCTATCTATCTATCTATCTATCTATGTATCTATCTATCTATCTATCTATCTATCTATCTATACATCAATACATCTATGTAATAAGTATGTATCTATCCATCTATAAGCGTAGGCCAGGTGGTCACTATATATAGATATTATAACAAGTGTTTTTAAAAGCTGGATTTTTGTAGATTTTGGATAAATAGATCAAAATATTCAGATACATTCGCGTAAACAGTGTAGTCCTACAATATACACAGGCTTATAGTTACAATTCAAAATGAGGTTATACATACAGTGATAACCAGAAAACTGTGAAATATGAAGACGACATTATAGCAGTACTTAAGTGTATTTGATGTTGTTAGAAAGCAAATCGTTTTACTAGTAACTAATTAGATCAATTATTAATTGAAATGAGACCATGTTTACACAGCAAAATTAATGTTTCTCATGTTCATTTGACCATTTGAGTCATGCTTTGAGCCTTCCGATTCCAGGCTTTTCTGGTTATTACATTTGGTCTACCGTCTTTTTGTTTTTATAGTAAAGAAATATCGGCAATGACTTTATAATTTGAAACTGATTTATTTTAAAAAATTGTCACATTTGTGTTGAGAATCTTTTAGATTTGAGGATCAATGCTTGCTCCCTTAACTAAAGTTATCTCTGCAGGGTAGGACCTACATGGGATATCAAAGAGGAATAAAATTAATCTTTAGGTAGGTCTGTATAAGACGGAGATCCACTAATACTAATCTGTAGGTCTGTATAAGACGGAGATCCACTAATACTAATCTGTAGGTCTGCATAAGACGGAGATCCACTAATACTAATCTGTCGGTCTGTATAAGACGGAGATCTACTAATACTAATCTGTCGGTCTGTTTAAGACGGCGATCCTCTAATACTAATCTGTCGGTCTGTATAAGACGGAGATCCACTAATACTAATCTGTCTGTCTGTAAAAGACGGAGATCTACTAATACTAATCTGTAGGTCTGTATAAGACGGAGATTCACTAATACTAATCAGTAGCTCTGTGTAAGACGGAGATCCACTAATACTAATCTGTAGGTCTGCATAAGATGGAAGTCAATAATTGATCGCAAGATTCTGATAACTTTGAGAAATGTATAAGAAGTCAGACCTTTTGCGATGTAAATCTAAGGATAAAGTATTGACTTTCATCCTTCGCAGATCTACGAATTGATTTAATTCCCTTTCGATATCCCGTTATGGAATTACCCTTCCAGAGATAAGATTTATGTAATCAAGCATTGATCAAGAAATCAAAAACTGGCCACATTGGTTATTAAGATAAAGCATTTAAGATGAACACCTCCGACCTCAGTTGAAACAATTCCGAATTACAAAATGTAAAGTAAAAGTAAAGGAACAAATACGACATTCATTTCACAGTTTTTATGTCAAGTTTCAAAAATATTAATCTATAGAGGATTAAAAATGGAGCAGAGAGATAGACAAACGAAAGAGGAAGAAGAAGAAGAAGAGGAAATTCAACCGAAAAAATTAAAAATAGATCTTGAGGACGAATCGACCAAAAAAGCTTATCCTGAGAAAGAAGATTTAGAAATGAGGAAAACAAAGAAAAATGAGCCAACAAACCAGGGGAAAAATGGCGGAAACCTGAAGATGGTAATCTGCAAAAAGCAAGATGGCAACCTCCAGGCAATTAAAGAAACAGCTGATGTGAATAGCAGCAATGATTTAACGAGTGATTCAGCTGATGCCAAGGTATATAAGTATATAATTGATAGTTAGATGCCGTGATTTAATTAATTTGACAAGGCGCAAAATTAAAGTAATTTCGTAAATAAGTTCTAAGCTCTTTAACTTCAATTACTTCAAAAAAAATATATGAATATACCACAAACTTGAAACTTTTGTGTCATCGAGAACGAATGAGATATCTTTTTTTTTCTTACTAATTTGCAGAGCCAATGATGGAAATTGTTAGACTTTAACATTTTTTTTAATTAGAAAAATTTCCTACTAAGGTTTCTCATTAAGAAGTTAAACTAGCATCTTTTGTAATCAGAGAGTGACTTGAAATCTTCCAATGGCCAATACTCTAAAGTATGTTTGGCTTTAAATTTGAATAATTTTCATCATGAGAATAGAGGTTACCAAAGTTCAAATATTTGATTAGAAGGGAGAGGCCTGCATAGTAAAAGGACAATACAAAAAATCGATGTTTTATTATCGGTAAATAGTTGTAAAATGTCAACCCACTCCTTGCTAATATTAATTATAAACGAGGGAACAAAAATTTGTCAAAACAAAAACTAAGCTTGCGTTTAGAAAGTTGTTTTAAAAATATTTTACTGCCTTCATTGCAATCAGATGATAAACAAAATTACACAATAATTCATGCGAAACGTTTCAAAGTTTTTTTTCTATGCTATGCATGTAGTTATTGATTAAATTCCAGTCAAATATTGGAATAGCACGTTAACACACAATTTGTTGGCAAACTCTAAAAAGACAAGTTCAAGAGACAAACTTATGAGAGAAACAACTCTGGAGAGACAAACTCCAGAGAGACAAACTCCATAGAGACAAACTCCAGAGAGACAAACTCCAGAAAGACAAACTCCAGAAAGACAAACTCCGGAGAGACAAACTCCAGAGAGACAAACTCCAGAGAGACAAACTCCGGAGAGACAGACAAACTGATCTTAACTTTAAATTTGGTTTTTTGAAATTTGATCTTTCTTTTGCTAATTGATAATGTGACAAAATATTCATATTGGTCAAATTGCTGTATTGATAGTTCTCAAAGATTTCATTAAATTCTCTAATGATAATGATAATGAGCTTTTTTTCAGTGTGAATTGAAAAAGCAGAAGAAAATTTTAATAAAAATTAAGAAGCAAAAGAAAGCAAAGAAAAAGGAAGGTAAGCGTGACATGGCAAGGTTTGTCAATTTAGATACCAAGGATATACAGAGCCTTCCTTATCATATTAGATTATCTCCAGGCCTTAAATGCAAAAAAAAACACACATTATACCCGTACGTTCTGCAAGCGAACTTTTAAATTGGCTTTATACAATTTTTCTAAATGATTCAGTCTTCTTAAACTTTCCGATTATTCTAAAAAATCGTAATTTAGAGCCATTATTGTATACAATATGATGTGGGACACCCTGTTTAAAAGGGACTGTTTGTTTGTTTGTATCCAATAAACATCAAAACGGCTGACACAATCGGGCCCAAAAGGTTTGGATATGATCAAAATATTAAAATTTTGCCTCCAACAAAATTCGAGTGTTATTAAATGTTTAAAATCCACTAAATCTTTTTATAAAATCAGCTAACAATTTTTATTATTTTAAAATATATACAAAGAGGAAATGTTAACAATTGTAATAAAAGCCTAGTATATTTCAAAAGGGTATATTCACGATTCCCGATGGCACCATTAAAAACTTAATCAGCTCAATAATGTGAACGTAGCATCGTTTTTCAGGCTTGCAAAGTATTTTATTCTGAAATTCAAGAAATGCGCATGTTACTTTTAAAAAGAAACAACAAATAATGCAGTTTCCAAAAGTTTCATACTTGATCAGACAAACCTTTGAAGGGTACCGTTGTGAATTGTATATGCCAGTATAAAATTACGTTCCGTTCAGAGCCAGGAAATAAGCATTATATATCGGTGGACCCTTTTATCGAATGAACATTGAAATTTTTTTAATGTCTGAAATATTTAAACTTTAGAGACTTATAAAACAAAAACAAACAAAAACTTCGTGGATTTTATATAAAGAATTTTGTGGATTTTTAAAGTTTGTCGGTGGGTGGTCTAAAAATAGTCACAAATCAATCACCCTTAATAAACATAAAAGAAATGAAAATTCCAAAAAAATGTTTCTTAGCTACATATTAAAAACAAGATAATTTATTTTTTAGTTTTTGTTTTTAATATTTAACTGTTATAGATAAAACATCACGCATAAATGTCAAGGAAAAATCAAATTAAGATATACTATTACACATTATTTTTTAGCAATATTTTTAATGAAAACACGCGGCATTTTTTGACTAAAAATAAGAAGAAGGAAACTATTCAGCAGTTTTCTGATTCTTCCATTTCTATATTTAACTTTTTCTAGATGGACCAGCAAAAGCACTTCAGGAATCTCGACAACATGAGATTTTTCAATTTTTATTTATGGTTTTTAAGTTTTAACTCACTTTTCATTGAAGATTTTTCGTCTCTAATCTCTAACTTATAATTTCTATTTTCTCACTTTTCATTAATTTCTAATTCTAAATTTTACTTTGCATTTTTCTAATTTCTATATTCTCCCTTTTCATTCATGATTTTTAATCTCTAATATCTAACTTCTACTCAAAGCTGAATATCTTTATTCAGAATACCCAACTTCTAATTTATGACTTATGATAAGATATGATCTCTAACTTCTAATTTCTAACTCCTATTCTCTAACTTCTAATTTCTAACTTCATAATCTATAATTCATAATTTTTATTTTTAACCTGTGATTTTTATTTTTAGTTTTCTACATTCTATTATTTTTTCTTCAATTTTAATTTTCCAATTTCTAATCTCTAATTTGTTGTGAAACTGATAGAAAGCATTTGATCTTGAGAAAACAAACAAACGGTTAAGTCATGAGCTTCCAAAGTGTAACTGGCTTGAACTAAAAATCCATAAAATGAAGGGAGTTCAAAAATATCTCAGGTAAAATTGTTTATTAAAACATTCAGAAAGAATTCTGGATTTATTTTTATTATTTTTTAAGTGAATCGCGCGGATCGTTTTTAAAAAATAGAGAATTTGAAGTAAGTTCGATATTTTCATTTCATTAAAAACATTATTCTTTGATATTTTAATTTAAAATTATTAGATCTAAAAGAGTTCATATTTTAAAATAAGAATATTGATTCAAATGGGGGAATGCCCCCCACGTAAAACTAACTACAACGAAGTTCATCCTGTCTATATAGGAATATTTATAGTCACATTTTGATTTCTCATTCAAAATCCGTAAACTATAGCGTAAACAACTTTATATACTTAAATATTCAAAATATTTAGTCAAACAAAAAAGTATAAAATATTGAATACTAAATATCTACATTTAATGTTTGATGTTTGATGTTTAAAGTTAAGACTCTCTAGATCTTTAACCGGAACGTCTAGTTGACCGTGCCCCGGTTACTGAAAATTATTATTTTGTTCAGTGATGAGCAGATGATGAGAATGGAGGAAACATTAAATATGATAAACGATCAAAACTCCAAATCACTGAAAAGAAAGATCAATCCTAGAAAAGTAAGTGATCAATATTAAGTTGGTTTTTTTTAGTTGGAATTGCTTCAAATTGAAATGTTGAAGGTCTTCAACTAGAAAATCAGAGTTTGTGTCAAGATTTCAGTTACATTGCACTTATACTTTTTTAATATTTTTTTTGATGATTTCTAACGTTAAAATCAATACTTAACAATACTACGATAAATAACCATTTTTTTATTATGCTTCAAGGATTTTAAAATTTAACTGAGTTGTTCAATGATATATTTATCAAATATGAGAATGACAGTTTTCTTCCACTTAGACCCCTGGTGTTTTAAGGTGACATTTAAGTGAATTAACAAAAAAGTCAAGCAGAAAAAGCAGGATTTTTAAAAAAGTTAGTTAATATTTTTTATTTGTTGGTGAGAAAAAGAATTTAATCATGTTTTCAGAACACTTCAGAGGACGTAAAGAAGGAAAAAAACGCAAAAAACAAGGAAGCAAAGATCAAGCTTATCGTTGATAAGGAAGCAAAGATCAAGCTCAACGTTGATAAGGAAGCAAAGATCAAGCTCAACGTTGATAAGGAAGCAATCAAGCTCAACGTTGATAAGGACTCAAAGATCAAGCCCAACGTTGATAAGGACGCAAAGATCAAGCTCAACGTTGATAAGGACTCAAAGGATAAAAACACATTGGTTAAGGACGCGACGGACGGAAAAGACGATAAAGAAAAGTACTCTAATGATATTATAATGGTTGAAGCTGATGAGCTAGAGTCTGGAGGTATATCTGAAGAAAATGAAATACTTGACAATCCAGCAGGTCAGTCAAGGAAACATTTTTCTTCAAAATTTTTAAATTTTATTTTTAGAGTTTGTTCTCGCTAAATTGGGTAAAATAAAGAACTTTTCTCCCCCCCCCCAAAAAAAAAAAATAAATAAAAAAGTCGTGTTGGAACAACATTTTTGGATTTTAGTTTTAGTATAGCTAGAATCTTGATATGCTATGGTAGCATTTTTAAAAAGGGGCCTTCCAGGAAGACGACTGAAGTCCATTAGATTTTGCTACAAAGCATATATGCTTAACTATTAAGTTATTTACTAACTTATTATGTTAAATGGGTCTGTTTACACGACAAAATGGCTGTGCCTCGTGTTCATTGGATTAAGTTTAAAGTCATTGCTTGAGTCTAAAATTTGAATTCCTATTTTAGAGTGTTTTGGTTATAATTTGAAATTGTACAACAGACATTTTACAACTATTGATAATTCTATATAATGTATATTGATTTCTAGCAAGACAGGTCACATTCGATTATCTTTAATTAAAAAGTTTTGATTCTTTGCCGATGCATAATTGCCTTTTCTTTTAATATCTCCGAAAACATCTGTAAAAGGCAGTAATTGCTTATTTGAAACTAGAATTCAGGATCCCATTTCCGAACGAAAATTTAAATTGATCAAAATCAAGATTGTTCTGCAAAATGAGCTTTTAAAAACGCGGAAAATTCAGGAAACTTGCTCCGGAATTCCGGAATTCCGGAATTCTAAAATGTTACAGATTTCTTTGATTACACTTTTCTTGTCTTAAGCTACAAAAGTCAAAAGTACGTATTTTTATTTTCAATAAAATTCTTAAATAATCAGAATCCGAGAAAGAAGTGCCAAGAGCAAAATCAACAGATGTTGAGGAAAACGACGAAGGGGTAAATTCAAAAATTTATTTTTAAAAAAATTATTCTTTAACAATTTATAGAAACTTAAAACTCTTTCTAAACTCTATTTTTGCAACCTGCTGTTGTATATCTTTGATATTTCAAACTGTGAATCCTACTAAATCATATGACAAAAGTTTAAAGCATTCAGGTTGCAAATATTTGCAAATAAGAGTTTGAGGCGAGTGATCAGTTCCTTGACTAATTTAGGTGACTTCTACTTCAATCTTAACATCAAAAAAAGACTTAGAGTTCGAGTCTCCAGAAGACTTGAGACTTCTAGAGAAGAAAGAACTACTTCTCAAGGTAAGTCATTTATGCGAAATAAAAAAGTTATGAATAAAACCCAAGTAATGGGACCTTCATTTCAAGGGACTGTCCACCTAATTTCAAGTGGTTCTCAATTAAAATCGTTCCATGTTCGATTTACTAGGGTACCCTTAAGTTCTTTTATCGGGATAAAAATGAGGAAGGTGTAGTCATTTTATCTGTCTGAAAAAATATATATGTTCTCTTAATGTGATTTTTGTCTCTTTATTTGCTGAGATAAAGGTTTAAAAATACAGGTTGTGAATCGGAGCTTGGAATAACGGTGATAGAACCGTTCAGGACCTTTGCTGGGTTTGATGAAAATTGGTGGGTCTCCGATGAAGTATAAAGGTCTCCAACTACAGAAAGTTGGTGGGTCTCCGATGAAGTATAAAGGTCTCCAATTACATAAAGTTGGTAGGTCTCCGATGAAGTATAAAGGTCTCCAATTACAGAAAGGTGGTGTGTCTCCGATGAAGTATAAAGGTCTCCAATTACAGAAACGACAGAGGTCTCTCTCCGCAAAAAAAAGTGTTTCCAATGATTAAAGTTTTTCTCAGGATTCAATTATTTTAAGGAAATTGAAGAAATAGAACGAAGGAAAGCGGAAGAATTGAAAAAGCTTGCAAAGATAAAATCGTCCCTGTCAGGTGCTCTTTTATAAATATTAAATTCATCTGTCTGAAAAAGGACTGTTCATGCTTTTTCAAGGAGGAATTAATTACAAGCCTAGTATTTACAAGATAACATCTGTTTGTTAAAGTATTTACAAGATAACATCTGTTTGTTAAAGTATTTACAAGATAACATCTGTTTGTTAAAGTATTTACAAGATAACATCTGTTTGTTAAAGTATTTACAAGATAACATCTGTTTGGTAAAGTATTTACAAGATAACATCTGTTTGTTAAAGTATTTACAAGATAACATCTGTTTGTTAAAGTATTTACAAGATAACATCTGTTTGTTAAAGTACGTAATTAATAATTATACCTTTTCAGTATTTGATAATTTGACTGAAGAAAATTGAAAACACTTGTAGAACTTCCTGTTCGAATTTACAATTATAACTTATAATTTATAATAATAACTGTACACTTTTAATTTTTACTCAATTTATTGATTTTAAAAGGACTTAAAGCATAACTCAAAGCGACCCGATTCACAACAGTTCTTTAGAATGTCTTCTTCCATATACTGTATCAGACTTCTGTATCAGTTTTATTCGTTAAAGAAATCTTTCACTCAAATATATTTTACTTTGAAATAAACCTTTATATAATATAACTGCCATATGATATTTTTTATTATTCTCTTTGGTATCAAATAACTTCAAAAAATATGGAAGAAGACATTTTATACTATTCACCAACTGTCATGTTTCGTGGGACACCCTGTAGTTGAAAACTAATTAATCAAACGACGACATTTCTCATGATAAAGGTAGCTGAAAGGTCGTTGCTGTGAATCGCTGCACTTGGCATTAATTCTACAGTTTCTTCAATCTATTTATCTAAAGGTTTGAAATCCCGAAGTTCAGAAAACATCCCGAAGAAGAATCCCGAAACTGTGTTCGATGAGCCAGATATCAAACTTGAAACAGTGGACCTGGAACCGGAAATATTGGAAGAACAAGAAAAGCCCCCGAAGGAAAGATCTCTTTTAAAAGTATTTCTCTAGTTTTAAAATATTTTGTTTTACATAAAATTGATATTTTATCATATTTTTGACGGATCTATGATTAGAAGGTTAAAAGCCCTAGTCGCAGCTTACCAGGTATACTAACATTCTATCATTATTTTCCATTTTTAAGAGACTGTAACATTCAATCATTATTTTCAATTTTTAAAGAGACTGTAATTTCTGGACACACTGTTGGAAGAAACTCATCTAATATTTTGTTCGTTAAATCGAATTTACCGAAAGCATTGAGAAAATGCAAACATTTAGTTTGAAATTATGAATCAAATACGTTCGTATTTTTAAATCTTTGATAACAGAATTTAAAGAATTTTGTCTAACAAGTAGTTTCACAGATATTTTTTGGTGTTAGATACTTTTACAGTTTTCAAAGTACTGGCAAATGCCCAAGGTTGTATAATCAGGTTTGATAATCTCGATGCGCTCTAATGCACGGAAAATGTCGTCTCCTAAGATAAATAGATAAAAACCTAATATGACGTCACTAATTATAGAGATGAGCGTGACTTCATACTATGTTTTTATCTTTCTATCTTAGGAGACGACATTTTCTGTACATTGGAGCGCACCGAATGTACAACGTGCACAACCTTGGCAACACCGGATGTAATCATTCATTTGGTGTACTGTCCCGTGATGCCTTTATAGTCTGTACGTGTACTGTACACTGAACAATGTACAGCTTGCTCCTACTACTTAAAAGTCGGTCCTGTACTTGAAATGAACCGAAGTTCTCCTGTTGGCCAGTATTTGGCAGATGCATTTTGTTAACTGGTAACACTATAAGATAAGCCCTGCTGCCTTCTTGTATTTTCAAACCTAAAGAAAGTATTCGTTACAAGAAAAAACACCTGTTTTAAATAAGAATAAATAATTACTTTGCTAGTTGGACCAAATGCATCAATTCTGAATGCAACAGTTAGACATGTTAACAAGGCCATCCACCTTTACCATGTCTGAAATTTTTGAAATAGAAAAAATAACTAGCATACAGGGAAACTCTAAATATCTGAATAATACAAAGATTGATTGATTGATGACTTCAGAGCACCTTTCACCTTATAAATAGTTTGCCGCATTCAACATTGATAACACGATTTTAGCAATATCTTTTTATGAAACAATAATCACAGGATTGATTTCGTTCAGAATGAGAGATTTTCATGGTTTTATTTAATACATTTAAATTTGACATAATCTGGTATTCTTTATAGCAAAAAAAATGGCAGCCCACATTTTTGAAATGGCAGAATTGGGGCTATTCTGTGATTATTGTTTATAAAAAAATATTGCTAAAATCAGGTTAATTATGGTATTGGTGAATGCCGCAAATAATATTTCTAAGGTCAAAGGCGACTTTAAAGTCATCTTTAATCTACATTGTTCCAAGTTATTTAGAGTTTCACAGTTATAGGAAAATACAACTTTTAGGGCATGTGGGACCTAAAAGTGGTTACATGGGTTCCCCTGTACTCCCAGTAAACCCTGGATCTGTACAGAACAATATTAATCAAAAATACGCAATTCATCCATCCCTAACCTCCAATCAGTATTCAGCTAAACATTTATATCAACATCCAGCCAATTACAAACCAGGAGTTCACATACTTCCACAATACCTACAGCAGCATAGGTAGTGCTGGGCACAGTTTAGTTAAAGGGACTGTACACGTAATTTAAAGTGCCGCTTATGCAATTGTACCCTTGAAACCTCAACCTGATCAAAAATGTGGAAGATAACGTCGTTTTTCTGACTCGAAAGCTCAGATTATATCGATTTGTTGTTTCTTATAAGCAAGAAATGTGCAAGTCATGTTTGCAGAGAACCCTCAAATGAAACAGTTAAAAAAATGGCTATCAAAGGTTCATTTTAAGTGCACCGTTGTATATCGGGCAAGGCCATATTTGCATGGAGGTTCACTTGAATTTACGCTTACAATATCGTTATTCAATTTAAATTTTAATTATTATCAGCGGAAAATTCATTCAACGATCGGAAAGATTTGTAAACAAAAACTAATTAATTTTCTTGAATTTTTGAAAAATCCTTTCTTAGACAACATCATGTGTGGGGGGGAGTCGAATCCCCCCCCCCCCACATCTTTAATAGAAAAAAATAGCCCAAACAGGATTTAAAAAAAAGATTAAAAAAGTACTAACGTCCTCAGCATTCCACAAAGGACGCTCCTGAGAACCCTGACTGCTGCCCCGGAGTCCCATCATCCATATCCCAGATACGATTTTACACACAAGGGAACTATCTCTATATAATAATAATAATAATAATAATAATAATAATAATATCAATAATAAACAATCAACTTTCATTCAGTGGAAATATAGACCTTCTAAAAAACGCCAAAAAGATTGTTCAAGAAAAATTTTTATAAAATAGTTTCGTTTGGTTAAGGTTTATTATATATTTGAAAGGACATGTCTTTACCCTCTTTTTTAAGTTCTACCATAACATATTTTTTTTATAAAATGAGTTTTGTTTAGCTCAGCTTTTTCCGAGTTTTAAAGTTTAAATTGGAAATGGCTGAATTTGTTGTTCATTTTTGGCAAGCTTTCACAGCAGATATTCCCCTATTAGATTTATCTTTCCTTAGCTATTCACAGTATTTGTCGGATAAAGTGATACAATTAAGACGACTTTCTATTTCAATTTTAATCTTTACCAAGCTTCTAAACAGCTTTGATGCATATAAAAATGTAAACAAAGAGAAGAAATCAATTAACAGATTCTTTACTTGTAAAATTGTAATTAAAGCATGTTAGAAATCAAAACATAAACAGAAAATTAGTCTTCATCGTATTGATGTAAACGTTGACCACTGTACTAGCTTTTTGCTTGTTAAATTTGAAAAGTCTAAAATCACTCAGCATTTGTAATCAAATTTCGTAAGAGAAATCACATTTAAAAATTATCAATGTTCAAATAGAAAACCATAGATATCTCCTATTATCTGCAGTTTTTAGATAAATTTAATTTTTATATTTTAAACTAAGAGAAAAACTCCTAGATGATTGAGAAATATCCACAGCTTCAAACAAGTTCCATAAATCCAGCTCACGGGTTCACCTCTAAACCAGAGTTACATTCGACTCATGGGTTGAACTCCAAACCAGAGTTACATCCAGCTCATGGGTTGAATTCCAAACCAGAGTTACATCCAGCTCATGGGTTCAACTCCAAACCAGAGTTACATCTAGCTCATGGCTTCAACTCCAAACCAGAGTTACATCAAGCTCATGGGTTCAACTCCAAACCAGAGTTACATCAAGCTCTTGGGTTCAACTCCAAACCAGAGTTACATCCAGCTCATGGGTTCAACTCCAAACCAGAGTTACATCAAGCTCATGGGTTCAACTCCAAACCAGAGTTACATCAAGCTCTTGGGTTCAACTCCAAACCAGAGTTACATCCAGCTCATGGGTTCAATTCCAAACCAGAGTTACATCCAGCTCATGGGTTCAACTCCAAACCAGAGTTATACCCAGCTCATGGGTTCAATTCCAAACCAGAGTTACATCCAGCTCATGGGTTCAACACCAAACCAGAGCTTCCAACTCCCCAGACTATAGAAGTGGGTTATCAAGGGTTTGTTCCAACTAAATCCTCTTCATCAGCAATAGTTCAACCAAAGCCAGGATCTCTGATCAGAAATCCAAAAAATCCATTGAAACCCATCCCCATTCGTCCCAGCCCTATGGAGGTATTCATTTTAGCATTATAAAGTTATTTAAAGGTGAAACGTATATAAACTAAATAATGACATTCTTTCGAATTTTTTTATTAATACAATTATATTTTGTGACACACCATTTCAAGGCGGGGCAAGTCCGATTCTCGGCAGTACCATTTAAACCTATATTTTACTGTATATCTTAGGGCTTTAATCCATATCTGCCATCGATACGACCAACACTCCAGGACCAGAACAAAGATCTGGATGAGACTCAAACGCCGGGTGGAGCTGGATACAGTCCCTCACCAGTACACAGAGAAATTGAGGTGCAGAAACTCCTTTAACATTATAGAATTGCATTTCACTTGAATAGCAGCTGGTTGAACCTATTGGCTTTTTAACATTAACAAAAACGTAAACTCTTAAATGTTGTCTTCCTAATTCACAGTTTTAGAAAGCTTGACATATCAAGCCGTTAATAGAATTTGAATCTGAACATAAATATGATAGAATCGGAATATCAATATGATAGAATCTAAATATCAATATGATAGAATTTGAATCTGAATCTGATAGAATCATAAAATTTTATGAGAGTGTAAAATTAGACTTCCAGAAATGATTTTTAAATATTAGAATCAAGAAATAATTGATAAGGTAACCTTAGCAAAAAGTTTTATATGAGAGTTTTCATTTTTTTTATCAAAATAGATGTCTTTAAGTGTTCAAAAAATAATATTTAAAAGGAATTGAGTCTTTGTCACAAAATGTTTTAGCTATGAGTTCTAAGTTTTAAGTTTTAAAGGTTTTATCAGGTTGCAAATATAGATATAGGGATTAGAACATTTCAGCTTGTGGACTCCATTCCTTTAAACATTTACTCTTAAGAAATACATTTATAGGAAGTAACAGATTTGAGAATAGAATCAGTAAAAACACTATACAGAGGGTAATTATTATTTGCTAGAAGAATTTTTACTTTTTTCTGTCTTTCACTTTAACATTCAGATATTGTCAAAGATAGCTGGTTTTTTAACAGATTTACGAGTTATTACAAATTTGTTATGAAGGGTAAAAAGTTTTATTGTCAGAAAAACAGAAAAACGTAGTTCTGATGAATTAGCTGACTTAAAACGTATTTAAAAGGACTGTATCCGTAACTTCAAGTGATCCTCCATGCTAAGATGGCAATTTAAGATTCACAAAGGTACCCTTGACACCTATATCTGATCAATAATGTGAATGGTATCTTCGTCGTTCTAGGTTCACATTTATATAATTTTGACAAATTACTGTATGTTTTAATGCAGTAGAAATATGCAAACCACTTTAGTAGAGAACTCATGATTGAAAATCATCAGTTTTCCAAATTATAAACATTGAAATATAATTCATATTTAATCAGACAAAGCTTTTAAGGTTACCAATGTGAATACAGGCACTTCCATCTTTGCATGGAGGGTCACTTGAAATTAAGCTTACAATCCCTTTAAATGAAATAAATTCAATTCAATTTAAAGCTTTGGTAGGCCTCATATTTTTGTTTTTAAATTACGCGGATAAATGAAACATAAAAAATTTGGATAAATGCATTAAAGACCAACAATTTCTATTTGTCAGTGTGAATGATAAAAGTGTAACTGAAGTTGATATGGCAAAGCTACCAAAACTACGAAAATATGATGACAAAATTAATTTACTCCAAGGGGTTCCATTCACTGATATCTGTTATAAAGGTAATACAAAATTAGTTTACTCCAGGGGGTTCCATTCACTGATATCTGTTATAAAGGTAATATTAATATGAGATCAGTTTACTCCAGGGGGTTCCATTCACTGATATATGTTATAAAGGTAATTTTAATATGAGATCCGTTTACTCCAGGGGGTTCCATACACTGATATCTGTTATAAAGGTAATATTAATATGAGATCCGTTTACTCCAGAGGTTCAATACACTGATATCTGTTATAAAGGTAATATTAATACAAAATTAGTTTACTCCGGGGGTTCCATACACTGATATCTATCATAAAGTTAATATTAATACAAAATTAGTTTACTCCAGGTGGTTCCGTTCACTGATATCTGTTATAAAGTTAGTATTAATATAAGATCAGTTTACTATAATCCAAAAGGTGGCTAAGTAAAAAATTGAAATCGATTTAACACTTACAGTGCTAAAACGACGAGTTAAATGTTTCTTATAGAAGAATTTTTAAAGATATGAGAGCACTAGAGAGGTTTAAGGAGAAGAAAAATAAAGATGTTGAGATCCTACGTCTTGAACCAGAGGAGATGAGAAGAATCCCCAAGATAAATAAGGGTCTTGGCAGGTGCTATTGTATGTATTTTAGAAAATGCAATTCAAAGTAAATTACCACACTTTGTGGTCAATGTCAGGGTACCTTATTTAGCATGTGGTATTGTGGGATTTTCAACATTTTTAACTTTTGAAGACTTTATAGGTCTTTTTTGGCCATTTAAAAAAATATTCTTTTTCAAGTTTTGAAATTTGTAAAATTTATGAAGTTTGCAAAGAGACTATACTAGATGACTATGATAGTAAATGTTCAGGACACTAAATGTCTATAATGTTAAATGTTCAGGACAGTAGATGACTATAATAGTGAATGTTCAGGACACTAAATGTCTATAATGTTAAATGTTCAGGACACTAGATGACTATAATATTAAATGTTCAGGACACTACATGACTATAATGTTAAATGTTCACGACAATAGATGACTATAATGTTAAATGTTTAGGACACTAAATGACTATAACATTAAATGTTCAGGACACTAGATGACTATGATAGTAAATGTTCAGGACACTAGATGACTATAATGTTAAATGTTCAGAACACTAGATGGCTATAATGTTAAATGTTCATGACAATAGATGACTATAATATTAAATGTTCAGGACACTAGATGGCTATAATATTCAATGTTCAGGACACTAGATGACTATGACAGTAAATGTTCAGGACACTAGATGACTATAATGTTAAATGTTCAGGACACTAGATGGCTATAATGTTAAATGTTCACGACAATAGATGACTATAATGTTAAATGTTCAGGACACTAGATGACTATAATATTAAATGTTCAGGACAGTAGATGACTATAATGTTAAATGTTCAGGACACTAGATGACTATAATAGTAAATTTTCAGGACACTAGATGACTATAATGTTAAATGTTCGGGACACTAGATGGCTATAATATTAAATGTTCAGGACAGTAGATGACTATAATGTTAAATGTTCAGGACACTAGATGACTATAATGTTAAATGTTCAGGGCACTAGATTACTATAATGTTAAATGTTCATCACACTAGATGACTATGATGTTAAATGTTCAGGACACTAGATGACTATAATAGTAAATGTTCAGGACAATAGATGACTATAATGTTAATTGTTCAGGGCACTAGATTACTATAATGTTAAATGTTCAGGACACTAGATGACTATAATATTAAATGTTCAGGACAGTAGATGACTATAATGTTAAATGTTCAGGACACTAGATGACTATAATAGTAAATGTTCAGTACACTAGATGACTATGATATTAAATGTTCAGGACACTAGATGACTATAATATTAAATGTTCAGGACACTAGATGACTATAACATGAGTAAATCCCAGGAACCAGAACAAAACAAGGTTAGTGCACAATGAATTCAGGAAGCCTCTCGCGCCCCTTTTTTAGCGTTAATGTTTTGAATTGAAAAATTTAGATTACTGAAGAACTCTCCTTTAAACAAATCCAGTTTAGAGCAAGGTTATAAATTTCGGTCGACCCCTATTTCATTGAATAAAGGGTTGTCTGCTAATAATAATAATAATCCATGTTTCTGTTTTCAATCTATTCAATTTGTCAAAATTTTTCAGTTTTTTTAAGCTTAAAACTTAGAATGTTACGTTTGTTTGGAAGTAAATTCTAATTTTTCTATTATTTTTTGCAGGCTATGGCTGATACTTATATGATGAAAGTAAGAGATCAAAATACTAGTTTTGCTGCTATTTCTGGCGGTGGTGCTATTTCTAGTAGTGCAGCAGTTGCCTGTGGTGGACCTTGTGGTGCATCTATTCCTGCTAGCAATACAAATGCTGCTTCTGTTGAGCCAAGCCTAAAGGAGCTTGAAATGTATAGGTAAAGCTCTAAGCTCAAAAATACTTCCAAAAATGTGTTTGCATTCTTGCAAAAAAAATATAATTCCCAGCCTCTTGTAAAAAACTATTGTTACCAGTGTGTGCTCAATAGCTCGGAATAAGGATAGTTTCATTGATGTAACCAAATCAGTTCTCATAAGAACCTGGAGCTAAACTCAGATTGGATAATTCCATTTATGTAACCCCTTCAGTCCTCATACGGACCCGGAGCTAAACTCAGATTGGATAGTTCCATTGATGTAACCCCTTCAGTCCTCATATAGACCCGGAGCTTAGCTTGGATTGCAAGTAGTCTGGCCTATAAACAGGACAACGTATTATCCCTTTGGTATATAGCTATAGGTCAGACAGAAAGTGGGGAAAATGATTAGTTGCCTCGTGTATAGTGTATTTAGATTCTGTCTGTTGAAAAATGCCATCCAGAAATTATGCTTTCAACGCGCTGAGAATTTCAGCAGCCATTAAACTCTCTATTTAAAACGCAGGCCAATTCAGACCACAAGGCTTTGATAGGAGGGAGCGGAAAATAAGGTTTGCGAGGCTAAAACCGAAATACTCGTCGTATGAGACGAATGAAAGACGGAGAGTCTGCCAAAGAGCTTCGGCTTTCTTCGATTCATTAGTTTCAACCATTATTTGTTCTTTTTTATATTGTTAATAGATTTTTTCCTCTACTCTGTAGATTCATTCACGTCAGTTGTAGGCTTTATATTTTCCTTAATTTCGATCAATTTTAAATGGTACTATTCCACTATCTCCTATAAAGAATTTTCACAGAAATTAATGGTTTAATTTTGATCAGGAGCTGGGTGAAATGGTATACAGGAAAAACAAGCTTAGAGCAGGTATAGAGAAAGAGAGAGAGTCATATATTAAACTCGTCTTTAATTTGAGTAGCACTCATAAGTAGTCCTATTGAATAAAAATCCCATCCTGTCCTGAGACTAATGATGTAATTTTAAGTAGACCCAATTCATTTAAATATTGACTATATGTCAATGGGGTATCCAATTTAAAGATTGACTATATGTCAATGGGGTATCCAATTTTTTATCTTTATTAGAAATCCACCTAGCTCTATAGTCAAGGACTTGGGAATTAGTGCCTTAACTCATTCTACGCAGTCCTTTTTTTCAAAATATATTTTTTCCAAAACTCGTTGATCCATTTTTTAAAAATCGTCTTTAAATCGTTTGTTATTTTCAAGCATGAAACCATCACTGTAAAAAATTAATTTATTGTTTCTGAGATAAAGTTTGAATTGTTAGCCTTGTAAATCTAATCTGATATTAATGAGGAAATTAGATTTTTTTTACAAAATTGTATTTCATCATTTAAAGACAAAAATTGTGCAATGTGGATTCCTAGATTAAAAACTTTAAAAAACCAAATAATCTCAAAGTCTCATGAATACATTTTCAGCAGCGACAAGAAGCAGAAGTGTCAAGCCAAACAACCAGGTAATATTCATGGTTTAATAAAATATAGCTTGCAACTCTATACTTGATGCATATTTTTAGACCAAGAAAAAACCCAGTTTTCTTAATGTTTATATTTAGAGCATATACTTACAGAAAATTTGAAAGGAAGGAGAAATCCAAAATGCATAACATTAAGGCTGTAAAGCAAAATAAAGTAATTACAGGTTAGTCAAATAAAAAATTAAAATAAAATTCCCAATATCTTTCACATTTCATATCAGATTAAAGTTTCAAGGATGCCTTGGTAAATCGGGCAATGCCATCTTTGTATGGGGAGTCACTGAAAACTCACTTACATTCCCTTTAAGCTTTATCTATTCTAGGATTAAGTCCCCTTCAATCCATGCTTCAGTTATACCAACAGCTCCAATATATTCAAGGTAAACCAGTTTATTTTATTAAAGGGACTGTCCACGTACTTTCGATTGAACCTCTAATTTAATAATTAAATTGAAGATGCACAGGTACCTCTTTAACCGCTAAATAAATAACATTTAAGAAGATGTCGCACACTGTGATCTTGCCAGGCTACATTTGCTGCATAAAACGTGCTGGGTCGACTTTACACTGGGTAGTCCAGACTGGACAGTACGACTGAATCCATGTTGTACCGGCTTGGATCATGCAACTTTTGGAGCGAGGTGGTCTGGGTTTTATAGCTTGAAGAAGGATAGATTGTGTAAACCTTCTTCCTTGTCTTAGTTACTTCAATCAAAAAGTCAATTTTAAAGAGAACCCAAAATTAAAATTGTCTAATTTTATATGGTAAAAAATGATTTCTCAATCATATTTACTCAGAATATGGTTTAATGGTTCAGTTAGAGATCAGGAGTGTAATCCTTCCAATAAAAGAAACTTGAAACTATGTTGACAATCTCTTAAAGTTTTATTTTTATCATAAAAATTTCCGATTGTAAAATAAAATATTTTTAAATTTCAGATTACAGCAAAAAGAAACTGCAAAAGGTAATATTGATCAATCGATGTTCAATCTTTGACTTATACAGTCAAACCCTTAATAACGAATACATCGAAAGAATTTATCAAATGTCGTATTCTTCACTTTCTGATAATGGAATGTTGCAGATATTTAATTTTTTAATTAAATGATTATATGGAACTCTTTAAAACTGTTCCCGCATATTCATGGCTATTTATTTATTTTCACAAATACTGAAATTTACGTAAAACTCATTGAAAAATAGTCAAGACGACATTTGATAAATTCTTCCCATGTATTCGTTATTAATGGTTTCACTGTATCGTATTATGCAACTGGCTCAAGTTATCATGCGGGACAATATATGTTTTTTGGCTGGGATTTTTACTTTCTTACTTTGTTTAAGGTTAAAATTCAAGACAAAGAAAAAAGGTAAAAATCATATCACACACATAATTTCCCAAATGATGACACAAGACAGTTGGATATATATATATATATATTTATTCAATTCAAGTTTTATAAAAATGTCCGATTTTTTTAAGACTGGCAAAATAAAAAGGGAAACCTACTTTGGCGGTATAAAATGTTATTTATTTTCCTCGGTACAAATGAAAAACATTTTATACCCAAGATAACGAAATTTTGAGTAAAAATGCGGGTTAAAAATTCTCTTAAAGTTGAATAAAAAAATTATTTATATTTTAGGTATTTCAGCGGGTTGTGAAAAAGGGATTATTAATACTGCTCCCTTCTCTAACCAGAGACCGGTGAGTTTAAAATTTAGAAAAAAAAACAATTCAGAGTTTAAAAAATATGAAATAATTTACAGAAATTTTCTAAAATTTTGATAGACAAACTGAAGTTCCAGGCGTTGCCTGTAGAATTTTAAAAACACTAGAATGCAAAAATTTTGAATTTTGAAAAAAATTCAATTTTGAAGAAAGAAAGAAATTTCGAAAAAAAATCAAATTTATTTAGCATATGTTACCCTCGGGATTCCCATAGGTTTCCTAAAAAAATGTCAGCTGTATAGCCAGCTTTAACCTAAAATATATTATAACTATGTATATTTATAATGATATATATACTATATGTATAACTATATATATTTATATGCAAAGAGCTTTATTTAATTGACAGACATTTTCTCTATTTATGAGAGCTAAATGTTCAGAAATTTTAAATAAAATCTCTGTACTATCGTCGTATTCCTTTTTTTCGAATTTTTTTCGAAAATGGTTATTTCATGATAAAAACTTCGTGTTTTTGAAACATATTGCGGCATTCCGAGTAATACAAATATACTCAAGGTTTAACAAAGATCTTCACAAAGATCAAAGATAATGTTTCCGTAACAATGATCCTTATAGCTTGTTGGATCAAAAAATTAAGCTAATCCTTAGCAAACAAGGATCTCAATGATCTTTACTTAACAAAGTTTAAAGATTATCTTTAGCTTATAAGAATCAAGTATTATCTTTAGCTACCAAAGATCAAAGATAATCTAACAAATATGACCTTTGATCTTCAGCTTACACAGATCAAAGATCGAAGATATATTCAACAATAATCTTTAGCTAACTAAGATCAATGACGATCATTAGCTAACAAAGATCAAAACCAATCAACAAAAATCTTGAGCTAACTAAGATCAATGACGATCTTTAGCTAACTAAGATCAATGACGATCATTAGCTAACTAAGATCATTGACGATCATTAGCTAACAAAAAGATCAAAACCAATCTTTATTATCAGTATTTGTTTAGCTTGTGTCTGCTGGGTTGAGTCATCAGCAGAAACAGCATCAGGTTATACTACAGCAGCAGCAGATAATGCTTCAGCAGAACCGTCTTCTGCAGATTCAGCATCAGCAGTTCATACAGAGACAGAGACAAGAGGAAGAGGAGAAAAGATTAAATTTTCTACCAACTCAAAGGTTAAGACATTCATTATGATTTAACGGTTGAAGGCTCTCAACCAAAAATCGATCAGAATTTTGCCAATTATTTCTTTAAACTCAAAGCAAACAGCAAGCGCTTTACAGCACTAAAATGTACATGTAAAAGACTAAAGAAAAGCAGAAAAGTGCTTTAGAGCGGTAAAATCAAAGTTGACCCTGTATAAAAATGTATAAGCAGGCTGAATCTATTTGAAGGTGATTAATCTTGGCCAGATGCATTTGATTTCTTCTATTTGAATTTAATCACGTGATGGTCTTAAATTCAACAATCTTTAAATTTAAGAAGTTATCGTTTTCTATGTTTTTCCTTTAAAACGTAAATGCCAACAAAAAAGTAAGAAAAGAAAAAGTGAACAAATTATGTTTAATAGGTTCAATTGTGATCGAAAGTTGCATTTCTCTAGGATAATGACCGAACCGTCAAATTCGAATTTTAATCGCCCCTCTACTCTAGGGATATGATTGCCGACTATAGCTGATTCACAACATGAAATGAGTTTAATATTTCGAACTAGCAATTTTGTTAGATCAATATTAAATGTTTGAAATATGAAGGTTTATTTCCACCAGGTTGCAAAGATATAGAGATTAGAAAACTTTAAAGATTACACAGAATTGATAGATTTATTTTATTTCTGTCCAATGTTTTGAACCCTTTACTTGGAGATCCCAATAGTTTCACGAATTTTAATTTGACAGATTAAGGAAGATGTTTTTTTGAAGTTTAGTTAACTTTTTTTTGCAGGGAGCTGTCTCTTAGTCCGAGGTCTACTGAAAAAGTAGAAAAGAAGAATACAGTTTTAGAGAGGTATTCAATTAAATTAAAACTTGCCAGTTTAGATAATCACTTTTTTAGAAAACATCCTCAAATAGCAGTGGAGAGGTTTTGTGAATATACAAAATCCTTCTTGCTTTACAAGAATATATCCCCAGAAGAGGGTAAACATTGCATGTTTTAAATCCCTGGCAATAGCTCTAATTCAACGGAACTTGTCACTGTCAATTATTATAAAAAAAATGGGAAAAATTTATTATAAATGGCTTTCAGTCGTCTTCCTATTGCTTTCTCATCCTCATCTCAAAAATATGAGAACAGGAAAAGAAAGAATTTTAAATATGGTCTCCAAGATTAAAAAAAAATAAAAAAAAACCCAAGAGAATGAAGCTATACCTCCAGACACCCCTAAATTACCGGACTTCTAAAATTCTTGCCTTCTCTCTCTCTCTTTTCTCTCTTTTTTTCTTATACATTTCTGAAAATACACGAAATACCCAAATGATTTCAACTTACCGCCTAAAAATGTTCAAAATAATATCTAAAAAATATATAGGGTTCGATGTGAAGTGTGCGGTAAGGATGCAGTGTTCATGTGTTCAGCTTGTAAACTATCCAATTACTGTTCAGTTCCTTGTCAAGTAATATTTAGTTCAATATTTATAACATCAAACTATTAAACTGTTCAGTTCCTAGTCAAGTAATATTTAGTTCAATATTTCTAACATTAAACTATCCAACTACTGATGTTCAGTTCCTTGTCGAGTAATATTTAGTTCAATATTTCTAACATTAAACTTTTAGATCCTTGTCATGTAATATGTAGTTCATTTTTATCAATCTATCATATTTACAATATTTGATATGATCTTTTTTTCTTTATGAAAGGGCCGGGTTTGATTGCTACTAAAAAACTAATCATTCAAATTTTACAAGATATAAATGTAGAATCAAATTCGGATCATTCGTATGTAGTTCATATCATAATCTTTTTCTTTTTATTAAGATGTACTTTAGATGACAGTTATTTGGCCGCTAGATGTCTCTAGCTCTATATATATCAGGGAGTCACATGGTCCGAACTATATCGTCGTCCGAACTATATTTGACATTTATCTCTGTGATGTGCAGTGACAACTCATTTATTTATTCATTTTTAAAACATTTTTAATTTTAGGAAAAAGACTGGTCTATACATAGTGTTGAGTGCATCAAGTATTAGGGAGAAAGAAATCAAAAAAAGTTTTTCTTTTGATTTTTCCAATTTGTGATATATTATTATAATATTTGTAAAATTAACCTCCGTGATAATTTTATACATTTTTCCTCTAAATAGATTAAGCGTTCCTTGTGTTTTTTACCAAAGCAATTAACTTAAATGGTTGATCTCAATATTCAATGGAGGCACTTTTGAGAATATTTCCTCAATTCAAATTATAACCCCCGCGATATATCGAAAAGGAATTAAATTTATCCGTAGGTCTGCACAAGATGGAGACCAGAGTTTTAATTATATATTCTCTCCTGTTCGAAATATTACAATGCATTAAACTTTTAAATGTGACAAAAGTTTTAAAGCAATTCATCTGTTTTTGATGTCGTTTTAATTTACATAGTTTAACTTTATTAAGTAAATATTTTTTCTACTGCCCAGTGGGACAATTTTTGTGTTCACTGGATTATCTTCAATCATTCAGCATCCACTCCTGTATGCCGAGTCAATTAGCGCCTGATCCAATAAGGGTTCAGTCATGTGTTTGTTGTCTATTCTGAACCAATAGAATAGTATGGCGTAAAAACTATCTTTCTATCTATCTCATTATCCAATTAGAGATATAAATCCTTCAATCGGCGCTATCAGTAAACGGAAATATTTACTTCTACTGAAACTATAGTGTGCATGAGAACCAGAAAACTGTGGAACATGAAAACGACATTAAAACAATATTTAGCTGGTTTAATTTGATGTTGTTAGAAATTCAAATTGTTTTACTAGTAGCAAAGCACTTTACAAGTTAAATTTTGAACATGTTATCTTTGTGTACATTGCAAAACAAAAAATTTCGCGGAATATATTATAAAAAAAATTTCGCTGATTTTCAAAATTTTAACTTTTAATCTATATTCTACAAATAATTAAGGTCTAATTCGTACATCTGTATAAGTCTCATAATGTTGGCGGTTTCAGCGGCTATTTTCTCATCCATCTCAGCGGCGGCTGCCAAGCGTTTATTCAAGCTATTTGCCGCCGCCGTGTCAGCGGCGGCTTCTAGTCGTTTATCCGAGGTGGTTGCCGCTGCAGGGGATTGGTTGATTACTGAAGGAGTAAATGTATCCTGCTCCTCAGAACTAAAATTAAAAATTTCAATATTTAAAATATAGACCCAGGAACTTTTGAATTGACGAACTGAGTTTAAGCTATTCTCTCTCTTCGCGAAATTGAAAAAATTAAACCGAATTTAGTCCATTTAAAAGTTTCCACATTAGAATCTATGGTAATTGCGTTTTTAATTTTAAGCAAGTTAAATACAGGGTGTCCGAAAAAACATGGGAATTCAGTGACGAATTGGATATCGTCATTGTTATGAATTAGAATTGTAATACCTAATTTCAAAAGCCTTAATATCATTATGTCTGCTAGAGTTTATTTAATGAAAACGGTAAATGGCTGTAAAGTTGTGTCTTTAATGTCTCGGCAAGATGAACAGTGAAGACAGACAAGTTTACTCTGTTTGTATACTGTAATTTTCTTGTTTTACTAAATACAACCGTAAACAGTCTAAACATAAACAAACAAAATGTGAACATTATAGCAGACGAAACTCTTACAGATTAGAGCTTTCTCAGTAGGTATCACTATACTAAATCAAAGAATTATTTAAAAAGACGATATCGAATTCGTCACTGAATTCCCATGTTTAATGGGACACCCTTTTACTTTAGAAAAAAACACGAGCTAGTTTTAGCAGACTTTTTAAAATGCAATGCAGGGTTACCCAAAAAAATGAGATTTCAATGACGACCTGAAAATAATGATAAAATATGTGTTTTTTTATTTTAAAACACCCGTATTGTATGAATCAGAATCGGGCCAATCCTATTTTCTGCATTTTCAATAAGAATTTCTGTATTTACTGAAAAAATTTAAATTTGCCAAAGGCTCATTTTTGGAGGTAACCCTGCATTGTATTTTCAATTAAAAAAAACCTGAAAGATTGAATAACAGCTGTGGAGAACCCCTGCAGAACTGTAATCACCAGTATAGGAATCCAAACTTAAAATATAACAAAAATGAGCTTGTTCGGAAAAAATTTGAAAAAACGCAACTACAACTTTAATTGTAGGGACGTAAAACTTCGTTTTTTTTTATAACAATTTGGTGGTCATAATTCAAACAATTAAAATAGATTTACAGGATTTTTTTTGATAAGATGTGTAAAATAAGTAATTTTAGTAAATAAGTAATAAAGCCAAATCATATCTAGATCAAATGCTAAAATAGCATTAGTTGTTGACACGCAGAAAATACCCCTTTCGTACATGGATAAAGTGAAAATGCCGAATATCGCTGTATTGTTTTATTATATTTTAAAATAAATCTGTTTTATCAAATCTAATTTACATTTATTCAAATCTGTTTTTCATTTATAAAATATGTTTTACATTTTTAAAAATCTGTTTTACATTTTAAAAATCGTCTTTACATTTAAAAAATCTTTTTTACATTTACACACATCTGTTTTACATTTAGAAAAATATGTTTGACATTAAACAATGTTTTGCCTTTAAAATGAATCTGTTTGACTTTTAAAAAAAATAGTTTCACATTTTAAAAATCTGTTTTACAATTACACAAATCTGTTTTACATTTACACAAATCTGTTTTACATTTAAAAAATTCTTTTTTACATTTAAAAAATTCTTTTTTACATTAAAAAAATTCTGTTTTACATTTAAACTATTCTGTTTTACATTTAAAAAAGAATGTTTTACATTTAAAAAATTCTGTTTTACATTTAAAAAATTCTGTTTTACATTTAAAAATAATTCTGTTTTACATTTAAAAAATTCTGTTTTACATTTAAAAAAGTATGTTTTACATTTAAAAAAGTATTTTTTACATTTAAAAAATGTTATTACCTACTGTAAGAGCAACAGCTCCTGGGTTCTGAAGTGCTGGACAGGCCAGTGCACTTTTTATATCTCCAGAACTTTTTACAGAGCAAATTATTTAATGAAAAAATTTTGCGATTTCTTAGTAGATATGATGCTGTGCCCCCTCCTGACTCTTCTTCTTAATCCAGCCTAATCTGAAATCAATATTTTAAATTTAATAATGAATTCTTTGATAACTATCTATCTTAATCCAGCCTAATCTGAAGGTCCTTTTTATGAAATCAATATTTTAAATTTTAACTCTTTTCCTTTTTATGAAATCAATATTTTAAATTTCATAATTAATGAATTTAACTCTTTTCCTTTTTATGAAATCAATATTTTAAATTTGATAATTAATGAATTTAACTCTTTTCCTTTTTATGAAATCAATATTTTAAATTTGATAATTAATGAATTTAACTCTTTTCCTTAAGTTGGAAGAACAGTTTCGCTCAGTCGCTGAAATACAAATTTATTAAGTTGTAATTTTTTATCGTAATTTAAAATGACCCTTTGCTAAAGCATGTACGATTCACACTTTAAACCTTTGACTGATCAAGGTTGTCGGATTTTATTCATATTAATCTAATCTAAAAATATATTAATAATCACTTTCTAGACGTGATAGTAAATATTTGTTTTCAAGGAACACAATTCTAACAAATCAGTTGTGTTGTTGGAAAAATTAATTTTAATTGCCTTTTCTCTTCAAAAGTGACTTGCGCATTTCTACTGCAGAAAAAATAAAGAAATTATCAGAGATAAATACTTAGAAAACTAGAAAACGACAATTGCTTCCACATTATTGATTCGATTACAATTTCAGGGGTAATGTTGTGATCTAGGCATTATCATATTTGCATGGAGGATCACTTGAAATTACACGTATAGTCCCTTTGATAACAAATATTTAAAGAAATACGTGAGAGTTTAAATACTGATTACAATTGTTTTAATTATTGCCTGACACATTGACCTTGCTGCGTCATATTTTAGACAATTCATAGAGTACGCTACTTTACAAACAAATTTTTTACCACCGTACGCTACTTTACCACCCTTGATTTAGTATTGATGTAACGTTTATAGATGTAACCAAATGTGAATGATAAGGGACTGTAAGCGTAATTTCAAACGACCTTCTATTCAAAGATGGCAATGCCCGATTTACAATGAAACCTTTAAATGCTTTTTCTGATCAAGTATTAATTAGATATCCATGTTTTTATTTCTTGAAACTGTTTATTTTCATTTGCGAAAGTGAATTGCGCATTTCTTGTTTGTAAGAAGCAATAATTACACTCACAACAATAAACGGTTTTCGAAAGAGGGCACTAAAATCCTCCGTCTGATCAAAAAAAAATTAATCTGAAAAAAATGGTTTTCAATTGTGTTTTATATGTAAGAGAGATTTGAGAATTTATGCAGCAAGGCTAAAAATAAAATTTAAAGAAATAAACACGTTTAATAAAAATGTTGCTATGAAAAAGATTTTAAAAAGTTGATAGTGTGAATCGAACATGCCACGGTATCAATGGAGGATAGCTTAAAATGATGTTTATAGTTCCTTAAATTAACTGTAAATTTATTTAGAAATATTTTTTGTTGCAAAATGATCAAAAAAATGCACAATAATAATATTCAATATAAAAACATTTTACCTACATTTACACATCTATATATAAATTTAGCTTGTCTGTCTGTTTGTTTGTATCCAAATCCAATAAAAGTCAAAGCGGCTGAACCGATTGGGCCCAAATTTTGTGTGGGACCTCACGTAACCCCAGGGAAGGTTTATGAATGATCAAAATTTAAAAAATTTGTGTATATAAGTTTTTTATTTTTGTAAAATTTTAAAAATCCGCAAACTTTTTTTGTTTTATACTGTAGAAAGATAAGATGCTCACAGATAAAGCCACAATTAAAATTTAAAATAGAAGATAAGCGCGAAGCGCCCTAAAAGCCTAGTAATTTGAAATGTAAAAAAATACCTAGATTAGGAAAATGAAGAAGAAGAACTGAATAAAGGATGCCTTAAAATATATTTTTTATAATTAAAATCATATTTTAAATTTAAATTATTGAAAAATACCTGTAAAAAGAACTCCTATAAATAATGCAGAAAATAACTTAAATAGATAATCATTAGTTATTATTATTATAAAATCCGATTACAATGTAATTTCAAAGCAAACGTAAGTATGTGCTACCCCTGCTAAAAGAGTTACATGCCAAATTCACAACGGTACCATTTTAAACTTAATCTGAGTAAAAAAGAAGATAATATTGTCGATTATCTGTTGAACAGATAATTCCGTCAATTTCTTTCCTTGGCTCTGTTGCATCAATTATCAAAGGGAGTGTTCGCTAAGCATGAAAATCCCGAATTGAATTCGGTTTTGAGTTCTACAAATTTTACGCAACAGATAGAGGTAAATTTTTGTGCGAACATTTCCTTTTAGTCACGTCATTAAAACCCACAAATTTAAACTTCATAATTTTTTCCCACACAAAGGTTTTAATCAAAGAATTCCCTTTAAATTAGTCGTTCAACCCAATAAAGTAAGCGAAATTTTAAATGGCCATCCATTCAAAAATAGAAATGCCTGATTTACAACGGTACCCTTGAAACCTTAATCTGACCAACTAATATTCCGTAGTTTTCTTCAATCAAAAAGTGTTTATTTATGTGAATTTCTTCATTGTTTTATTAAGCAAGAAAGGCGTAAGTCACTTACGTAGAAAACCACTAACAAATAAAAACAGTTTAATAAAGAAAAACATAGATATCTAATTCATACTTGATCAGACAAAGCAGGGTACTGATGTAAATCGGGCATGAAGAGTCACTTTAAATTCGCATACAGTCCCTTTATATGAATGTTTGATTAAAATTTCGTGGAAATTCCCCTTTAAGTTTTTCAGCACACCTGTTTATCCGTTTTTTCTAAAAGGAAAGCCAGTTCTTCGTCTTCTTTAACAGTTGGAAATGTTGAGGATAAAGAAGATGGAGAAGGTGATGAAGAAGAGGAAGAAGAAGAAGAAGAAGAAGAAGAAGAAGAAGAAGAAGAAGAAGAAGAAGAAGAAGAAGAAGGAGGTGATGAATTTGATGAAGAAAAAGACCCACTGTTTAATCCAGACAAAAAACTGGAAATTCAAGAAAAATATTTTTGTTAAAAAAAATATAACCTTTTTTTTAGTTGGATTTCAATGGTACAATTTAAGAAATTTGATGAAACACTGGGTGGAGGTAAAAGATAATATCTTCACAAAAAAATAATGATAATGGAAGGAATTGAATCTTTTCTACAAACTCTGATTTTATAATTCCGTTATCTTTGCAACCCGATGTCAAAGGCCTGAGATATTTCAAACTATGAATTCTGTTAGATCAAATAATTTAAGTTTGAAAAATCAAAGGTATACACCATGAGGTTGAAAAGTTATAGGGAATATAATATTGGAGTTTGAGGGAAAAACTCAATTCCTTTGCATAGCGTTGTTTATTGAGGTTTTTTAAATCATTAACATCAATAAAATCAGTTACAAATATACCAAACCAAGCGCGGATACAAGGGGGGGAGGCGGGAGTACCTTCGCCCCCCCTGATGGAGACAGGTGTGAGCGTTGCCCCCCCCCCCACCTGAATTTTCCAAAGGAATTGAGTTTTTGCCAAAAACTCTGTCTTTCTAACCCCTATATCTTTGTGACCCGATGTAGTAGATCTTAGACATTTCAAACTATGAATTCTGTTTGATCAAATAGTTGTAGTTTGAAATATCACAGGTTTACACCATCGGGTTGCAAAGATATAGGAGTTAGAACATTTGAATTTGTTGCTAAAACTCAATTCCTTTGCTAAAATAATTTTCCTAATTAATTTAATCGTTTAAGTACCCATTTTTCTAGTTGTTTGAAGGAATATGATGTTAAATACAAAAACTGAGAACTTGGTGTTGGTATATCAAATCATAGATAAGAAGAAATGTCTTACTTAAAACAAGGAACAACAACATGTAAGTGAAGCAATTTAGGATTTTAGGAACAAGGTTAGAGGTTTTTTTAAAAGGGAACAATATGCAATAACACAGATTTTGGGTTGGGTGAGTTAGGAACAAAAAAAAATCATCAAAAGAGGAACAAAAGAACGATAAATGGAACTATAACAGGAGGAACATTGACTATTGGGCCAGCTCGGAACATGCAACAAAAAAAGAAATAAAAATATTTTAGGGAATTAGGAAGAAAAATAAACGTTTTAGAACAAGGATTAGGCTCTAGGGACACATTGTTAGGAATAGGAACAAAAAAAAACACTAAGCATGTTACAAGTTTGCAAAAAAATGAAAGAACTAGGAATTAGGAAAAAAAATTAAAGAACTGGGAATTTAATTCGTAAACATGAAATAATGATCAACACATAAAGGTACAAAAAAAGGAAACATACATATGCGCAAAAAATGTCATTTATACTCTACATGAATAAGGAACAATAATCAATAATAGTAACATATAAAGCAAGTTAAGAACAAAAAAAATTACCAGATAGGTTATATGCATGTAAATTTTACGAAAAATTAAAAAAAGGGGAGAAAATTGGCATAGAATCTATTTTTTTCTGCAAAGGATTATTTTTTCTTCAAATTAAAGGAAATTTGAGTGCTTTCTGAAATAAGTTATTTGGGAATTTCTATTTCTAACCGGTCATGTAAAATGATAATTGATTTTTTGTATTTGGAGAAGCTTATTCTTTTCCCTTCTTTTATAAGATTAATGATTCTAATGAACCATCGTACAGAAAAAAGTAACATATAGAGACAAATTGAAATTAAATATAATATATGGTCAGGTTTAGGAGAAGCTGTTATAAAGTCATCCTCAAGCTTGCAGGATGTTTTTTTCGAACTTTATTTTTGTGAAAACGGGAGATTTGAGCTTTTTAATCTTTACAAGCATCTACAATTTACATCCTTTACTATCCCTGTATTAGAAAAAAATATTGGCTGTTCGTGATTAAAAAATTTCAGTATTACATTTCTTAGAGATTAACTCATAGCTAAACATCTTGTACCGTCAGTTTTTTGTTTTGATGCAATTAGCCACTAAAACATTACAATGTAAAACAGGCAAAACATCTTTCTTAATAAACTATAATGTGTGATAAGTTAAAAATCTATGTATTAAACTAGTATTTTAGTTGATAGTCAATAATTATGACCCTTTGTGAGTTTTTCAGATCAAACAAATTAATCGCCCAAGCGCGCTTCTTATTTGTTCTGACTTTAAGATTTTTTGGTTCAAAACTGGCTTAAAAACTTCTAGCCCCCCCCCTCAAAGGCAGCCGATCTAATGTAAACAAACATGAGTTAGTATACGGTGAATCTTCATCTAACGCCAGAAATGCCAGATGTTTGTTTATCATTTGTGTTATTTTTACAATCTTTATTATTGTTGTTACGCAAAAACTAGTTCTTCAGCAGTCCAAAAACGTCACCGCAAAGAGTACGGAAACCCTATCGCCCCCTCCTTCTATTCAATTCTCCTTAGAAATAATCAACCCCTGATTTAATGTAAAATTGAAATAATCAACCCCTGATTTAATGTAAAATTGAAATAATCAACCCCTGATTTAATGTAAAATTCCCTTGATTTAATGTAAAATTGAAATAATTAACCCTTGATTTAATGTAAAATTGAAATAATCAACCCCTGATTTAATGTAAAATTGAAATAATTAACCCCTTGATTTAATGTAGAATTGATTTGACGAATCAATAAATTTTATATTAAATTGTTTAGATAAACCAATTGATTTAATGTAAAATTGGTTTGATTAACCGATTGATTTAATGTAAAATTGTTAAGATAAACGTCAATTAATTTAAGTAAAATTTGCTTAATGAACCAAAAGATCCTATAGTGTAATTGGTTTGATTAACCAGTTGGTTTAATATAAAATTTGCTGTATTAACCAGAAGATCTTATGAAAAATTGGTTTGATTAACCAATTGATTTGTTATAAAATTGGTTTGATTTTCCAATTATTTTGATATGAAACTGGGTTGATTTGATGTAAAATTGATTTATTAACTATGAATAGAAAATTATTAAGTTGCTATAATAAATATGTGTTTGTTTCACCTATAAATATTATTAAATATGTGTTTGTTTCACCTATAAATATTATTAAATATGTGTTTGTTTCACCTATAAATATTATTAAATCTGTGTTTGTTTCACCTATAAATATTTCCAGAAACCTCTTCTGCATATCCTATTATTTGGTCACCATATAGTAAAGGTCTAGATAATAAAGAAATAATATAAATATATTGTAAATATCAAATAGTAAAATGATTTTAAAAAATGATTGCGCACATAGATCCAGATTGCTATGAAACGTTGTATCAGTGCTCAAGACTGGATCAACTTTACAGTGTATAATGGATTTTATCTCTCGATCTCACTTACACTTTTTTGCCAAATATGTAAATTGTAAACTAGCAATTTTAGCAATTTTTAAGAAGTTGAAATGGCAAAATTCTGAACGAGTTTTGTGCGAGAGCTTTCAATCTTTAGATCACTGTGTGTGAGATAAAAGGAAAACTCTCTTCTTGTTGTTTTGTTCTAAAATTGTTTTGGACTTTTCGTTAATTTTATCTAAATATTTGGAAAAATCATATCTTTACATTTAAAAAGCTTTCGAAACAAAAATAAATATTTATACTTTTAAGAGTTTGCTAGCTGTTTTTTCTTTATTCTAATTCATTGTCAAGCCCATAACAAATTCATTTTTGAGACAATTTCTTTTTTTACTTACAGGGAATATCATATTAATTTATGTGAACTTAGATTTTAAAGGGATATGACCGATTCACAACAGTACCATTGAAACCGTAATATATGAAGTTTGGAGATATGGCTTGAAAAGTAAATGATTCTGATATTTTCTATCTCATTTCCGAAGCAATAAATGATGTTACTATTGCAGAGAAACCATAAATAAAGTTTTGAGAAACAGAAACATGGAAATCTGATGACTACTTGAGCTAATGTTTTTAAGAGTACTGTTGTTAATCTGAAATGTTTTTAAGAGTACTGTTGTTAATCTGAAATGTCAATCTTTATTTGGAATGAATGAAGAAATGATGTTTTAAGTCTCTTTAAAACGATCTTTTAATCAAAAATCCCCCCCCCCTACAGAGATATGAACAAGGAAACGATTAAGAATATAGGATTAAATCATTAATTTAATCTACAAGATTTTAAATTCTAACAAACCATTTCATCTAAAATGAAATATTAAGATCTTTGATGAATAAATTAAAATCATTAGGGTAAAAAAATTCAAATTTTTTCTGGTTATTGTTGTTTTTAATTTAATTTTAATTGCATTTGATCGTTAAAAATCATTATAAAGATGGGCATCGTTGTTGCGAGCGAACGAAATTTTTTAGTGAACGATGATGTCGATCAGAAAAATTAACAAACGATGAATATTTACGATTTGAATCGTTCAGAGAAAAAAGACTCTTTTTATCAAAACGAAACATTAAAATTAACGATCGTTCAGTTAGAAAACGAACAAAATAAGACGGATGAAAATTAAGAAAACGAAAAAATTAAATTTTTTTCTGAACAAAAAATAATGAAATGGGTTGTTAATGAACAATGAATTGAAAAAAATCCGCACTCGCCAATCTTGATTGACCATAATTTTGCATCCAAAAAAAATTTGATTAAAAAATAACTTGGACACCATGTACTCTTACTTTGTATTGTTCTCATAATGTTAAAGCAAGAAATATGGTTACAGATAAAATAATATTTAAAAGGACTGTAATCGTAATTTCAAGTGATCCCCCCCCCTGTTCATGTGTTAATAAAATTCAGAGTTTAGTATTTTACACATAAAAAACATACCTTAACACATGGCTATCTTCCGGACTGCAGAAAAAAGTGTTATTAATTGAAAATTCGGGATCATTAGAGTCGAACTTATAAATAAAAATGAAGAAAGATTTAAAATTAAAATTTTTTAAACTAAATTTCTCCAGGTCAAAAAATAAGAAATAAAAAATTTACATTTTTTTGTATTAATATAAAACAACTTTTCCCTAGCAGACAACAAATTCCAGTCCATTCTTTCTAAACAAAATTTAAGATTGTCGAAACGTATTTTTAAAATATTTTTGAATTTAACTGAAAGGGCTATAAATGAACTGAAAAGGCTATAAAATGACTGCAAGCGCTATACAATTACTGGAAGGTTTTAAAATGACTAAAAAAAGGGCTATGAAATTACTGAAAGGAGTATGAAATAACAAAAGGACTATGAGAGCCCAAAGAACTGAAATAACTAAAAATGGATGGAATGGCCGTGGAGGAAGCACACTAAAACTTGAAGAGCTGTCATTGAACATATAATAAAAAGGACAGTGAGCATATAAATATCTAAAAGTACAGTGAGCATATAAATATCTAAAAGGACAGTGAGCATATAAATATCTAAAAGGACAGTGAACATATAATAAAAAGGACAGTGAGCATATAAATATCTAAAAGGACAGTGAGCATATAAATATATAAAAGTACAGTGAGCACGTATAAATATCTAAAAGGACAGTGAACATATAATTGTATAAATATCTAAAAGGACAGTGAGCGTATAAATATATAAAAGGACAGTGAGCATATAAATATCTAAAAGTACAGTGAGCATATAAATATCTAA